CTTAAAGTAGGTTAAAAGAAGTTCGCCATGTGATAACTTCGAAGCTCAGAAAAAAAAGACACTTGAAACATACAAAAGATAAATACTCAATCCATTTTTCATATACAAAATTGTTTTTAATAACAATCGTTGAAGAAAGTAGACCACATTCCAAGGACCGTCATAAGAATAAAAGGAAATTGAGATTAAAAAGAAAAACCTTCAAGCGGCATTTAAGGGCCATTATAATTTGATGTGCGTACTAGTGAAAAACAGCTTTTCATAAAATATATTCTGAACCTAACACCGTTCGATGTCTACATCTCAGACTACAGGGTAGCTTCTGAAACGCTGAACAATATTTTCCCTTATAATAATAATAATAATAATATTGTACCACATCACACAACGCCATCTAGTCCCAAACTAAGCAGAGCTTGTACTATGGGTACTAGACAACTGATATAAATACATATATACTTTTTTTTTGTAAATACATACATATTATACATAGAAACACCCAGACCAAATCAAACATTAAATGTTCATGCACACAAATGCTTGACTTGAGCGGGAATCGAACCCGCGACCTTTGGAATAGCAGTCCGTTACACAAACCACCATTACAAATCCATGCTAAGCATTCGATCAGTATGTTAAGTGCTGTATCATCGGGTCACCCACAAAAATGGTAATACCGTGACATAAGCTCCCGGCCGATACATCCCAGGTGCTTACATTCCGTATCCGGAAAGCATCCGCATCCGAAAGGTGAGGGCAGAATGCCCACCTTCCACTCTTTCTCTCTTGTAAGGACGGATTACAATAATCGCTGTTATATAGGGTTGCTCCCTGTATCACAGACCTCATCCAACTGCTGCCTGTCACATTATCGCTTAAGTTCGTTACAAAGTTTTTTAAAGACATACAAGCTATTGACTACATTCTGTAAGCAACTAGCACGTTGCATTAATTAGAGGTATTTTTTGGATGTCAATACAAAACATCTACAATCGCATGTTGCAGATTCACATGCGGTTACGAGTTTTGATAGTACTCTAACAGTTTTAAATGTATGCTTTTTATAGTTACTAAAAAAGTTTTTTTTTGACAAATCTTCTTAAGTCCATAGACACAGCGATCATTAGTTGTTTTATGCTTAAAAATAGAATGCAAATCTGTGTCGATACAAGAAAAGTCCATTTTATTCAAAGTAATATCTGACGTGACCGAAGTTCTAATGGCTGGCTCTGGCTCTGGTGACTTCGTAAGTGACTCTATTCATCATTTATATCTACTTGCGTCATTACTAGATTAATACGTATTTTTTATTATATTTTTGTGTTTTACAAGGAACAATTGTTATATTTTAAAAAGAAATGGGTTCAAACAATACTTCTGCATCTAAAGTTGTTACAGTTAGTTATCTACAATAGCCAGTGCCGAGTGTGTATGAAACTGTACAGGCGCAGAGCATTATCTTCAGTAAATCACCATATTGATTATCGTATATTTTGTATTGTTACGTTATAAAATATGTTATTAATATTGCACTTAAAAAAAACAACAATAGTTGACAATGATATATTGAAAATTCCATACGAGTAAATAAAACTCTGGAATAGTGACTAGGATTTAATAAATAAAACACCTGCCAACTTTTACGTACCTAACTACTTTAAGTTTCTACTTACTTGATACAGAAAAGAACTAAGTCATATTGAACTTTAAAAACTGTAACGAAGTTGTGTTTTGAAGAACTTTGTCTAATGTGATGTGAGATGTGTTTTAACTGGAGGATTCAGTAGTAAATTTAGTTAATTTCTCTTGTTGATTGAAGATTCTTTTGTTCATCTGCGATTACTTGTTGAGACTATATGATAATATTAGTATAACGATTATTTAAAATTTGACCAATAAATACCTTAAATATAAACCCCTCTTATTGGGTGTAACCGTAGTCAGATATATCTACAATTAGTTTATAACTCTGTTTAATAGTTTGTTGCTGTAATATTTTCTGTAGGAGATAAGAAATTAATAATATAAATTAATAAATAAATAATTAATTATTATTAATTAGTGCGACAATATTTTCTACTCGAATATTATGATAAAAATTACCATTATTTAAAGAATGATACAGCAGTAAAAAAATTAAAAGCTTTTTTAAGAACTTAAATAAATTAGATATTCACTTGATCTTAAATAAATTAGATATAATTCTCGGAACATGAATTTCTCAACTTTTTAAGAATGTTACTATGTTAGTATTTAATTCCAATTTTTTTTCATATATTTTTTTGTAAAATATCATGGAAAAGGAAATTCCAAAATGTTATGTTAAGTATCCCTAGCATCCAAATGAGTTCAGACTTTAAGAAAGCAGTTGGTTAACTTCTCACAAACAGTATAAATATTTCAAAAGCCTTGGGTGACAAGCCAAACACATAAAAAGTATTATCAAAACAATCACTTCGTAAGCAGCTGTTGAGCCATGAAGAACTTGTTCAAAAAGTGTTTCTCTAAAAACTCTCTTGATAAAAAGGAGGAAGAAAAATCTAAGGTATAATTGAACCGTATTGTGCAGAAAGGCTTCGAAACTAGTCAAATGTCTGTCCAAAATAATCTGCACTTAGTATTTTGTGATGAAACTAAGATTTCTATTTATTTACATATATTAATGCGTGAAGATGATTCTTTGTACCTTTTTAAACAAATACAGTTTACGAAAGCAGCTCATATTGTAATGACTCAACACTACTATACCACATTTTAAAACAATGAGATATAAAGTTTAAAATTATATAAAATCGTCTACATAACCAGTATTCAGTATATTCATGGTATAAAAGCATATAAAAAGATAGTTCAAGTAATACTGGACAATGAAATGGAATAAGACATTTACAACGGTCGAAATACGACCGTCAGTCACTATTTATGAAAAGGTGTTTTTCTAGTAACATAAATGCAAATTATTTTTGACAGTTCAACATCAAAAGGTACTTCAATTTTAGCCAGTTTATTGATTAGATTACTTCTGGACGACAAAAAATTCATTTTAAAAGGGTGTCAAGTCACTTCTTTTTATTTAAACATGGAAACAGTAGGTTCGACACAATTTTATTCGAAATAATGAAGTTCATCATTCATTCATCAAGTTTCTGTAATAACCTTAACATAAAATTTTTATGTTTTTATGATAAAAACGGACGACAAATTTTTGGAACTAAGTTCCTTATCGCGCGTTACACGTTCTGAGCGGATGGGGGCTAGACCGAAAAAATATGTAACAAGACTTTTTTCCGACACTTTTTTGCTATAGTACCCACGCACTTGCTTAGATATTTTAAACTAAACAATGAATTTTAATACTGTTTTCACCAATAGGGAGAGTGACTCCAGAGAAAGGTTTATATCTAAAATACATGCATATTATAGTCCGAGAATTTCAAAGATTTGTATAGAGATAAAAAACATATTTTTGTGCGCTTACATTGCAAACGGTGGATAAACCTTACGAGATAGACCAAAATAATGTACTATGAAATTGTATGTATATCTTAAAAGAATCTTCAAAAACCCTCATGGTTTATGTCTATCTCCTAAGGATAAACCACAGTAACCATTTTTATCTTTTAAATTTTACTAAAAAAATATGGCTTATTTACGAAGCTATTTTAAAGAATACATTATTACTTCTTATCCAATTAAATACTTTAGAAACGTTGTGCATTTAATGTAGACTAAAATCGTTCTTTACAGCATATCATTAAAATGAATATTTTAGATGTTATTAGAGGTTTAAAATGCGAGGGCAAAGTGGCCCTGGCGAAGTGAACTTTGGCGCATAGATAGATTATTTTCTATATTCATTAGTGTGGGAGTGCACTTCAGCACAAATGCTAAACAATCCTTTCGTTGCTTTTCACCGAGTGAGTGAGGTTACTGGTACCCTAAACACCCCCTTCCACAGGGAAATGCCATTCCTAGATACTTAGTTGCAACGTCGAGGATCGCGGATTCGATTCCCGTTGAGTAAAATATTTGTGTATGCATTAATATATATGACGGATAACTGGTGTCTAGATTAGTTGTAGTAACCGCGATGTTAGTATGTCCTATATCTATTTATTAGCAAAAAATATCTAAATACATGTGTTACCTATATTCTAGAACCGCAACTGCAAAGTATGCTCAGCTTAGGACTAAATTGAGCTATGTATTATGTTCCAAGATATGGTTATTATTATTATAAAACGTTAGTAAATTTCCATTTAAAAAGTTTAAAGCCATTTTCCGTTAAGGCAAAATTATAAATCTATCCATTAATCGGACAAATTGAGCAAGATTTCAAGGAACAGGGCGATGAAGTATTACTACCTTATACCGTACTTTGTTAAAAACAAAGCAATAATTTTCTCTATTCGTAGGTCTACGATGTAAGCGATTATGACGCCACGTTCGATATACCCAGAGCAGTTCTCAAATTGGTTGGACTACGACTTACTAGAAATGATTCTTTTTGTGTCAGGTTTGTCGACTTGTTTATAAAACACCAACAAAACACTTTTGAGCACGATTACTTGAGCCATAATAACAGACCGTAAAAACAACAAAAACCGCACATTGTATTGTTTGATCACAGTTTCCGTTGACAATAAACAGTGTCAATTAAAGATTACTTTTATATATTATTGTTTCTTACACGAAAATAGACACGTAAAAATTCAAAGTTTCTAAAATGGCTTCTTAACTTCGTTCCGTGGATTTTAGCATTGATTTTTTTACCTGCCGCCATCCTTACCCATTTCATCCGGTATAAGAAAGACTATTTAACAATATCTTTGTCTATTAAATAATCTTATTATAGAAAAAATCTTCAGATTCCTATATCCTCAAAGTAATGAACTAATTTAATATTATGGTTTTTGACAGCCATGTAAAGCGTTCATCTTAATTATTATAATACAGACTGTCACAGAAAAGTGTTTTGTCATTCAAGATTATTATGGAGCATGTTCTACTGGTTCGAATTCTCTAACCTATTCATAGTGACTTGGTTGGAGCTGGCGAACATTGTACAGGCAGCCAAAGGGGGAACATTCCAGGACGCTGTTGAGATCTTCAGAATGATGCCTTGCGTTGGATATTTATTACTTGGTCAGTGATAAACTTTTCGCTTATTATTATTAGTAACGGTATACCGCAATCTGACGACTTTATAGTCAAAGCATCACTTCTAACACTCCTATTTAAATTCCGAACCGACCCGACTTTAAATTTGTATAGCCTTCCTCATTCCTCAAGAATTGCGCTTTGCAAAATATTTTTTCATTTAAGATTAATTGACATACAGTAATTCCTAAAGCTAGCTAGTGACAATTAACCAAAAAAGGATTAGTAAAAACTAAATATCAAAATTGCAAAATGAGAAAAAGCTAACGTTTTTCTCATTTTATTTGTATATCTTCTTTAATTTTTTACTGTAGGTAACCATGGATGACCTCTTCAAAACCGAACTTTAAAACATTAATTATATTTAGAGTTATTTACAATTCAAAAGTAAGATTTTTTGTAGCAATGTCCAAATCTTACATGATCGAAATACATCGTCCCGTGTACGAGAATCTGGTGAGCGAGCTTCGTGACATGTGGCCGAGGGGTGAAGTATCTGATGCCGAACATCAAGTAATCGGTACAGCTATTAGGCAACTCAACTATGTTACAAAAGGTAATGAAATATGTGACTAAATATACTTCAACTTTTATTTCGCCATTGGGTCTTTGTTGAGAACAGTGGTCTTACGAAATAAATTCTTAGATTTTTATTCCAGTGTTAAGAATTATCGCATTAGTTGCAACGCCTATTAGTGCTGAATTGGTTTGCATTATTCCAAGTGAGTGGTTACTGTGTGACAAGAAGAACAATAACACGCAACTACTGTCATCTCGGTCTGGCATAACACATCGAGGAGATAGCCGCGGGGGATATTGTATCTCACCTCCGCTTGACAAAAACAATACCATTTTTCGTCTCGTTCACGCACGTTTGTGCTGCATCATAGTAAAAATGTCGACGCAAAGGACACCGCCAAACAAATTCTCTTCAGACACTGACATACCACTCTCAGTTGATAGGGACTCCTATGTGGGTACTCGCAAAAGGAAACAACCCGATCAGGATGATACATTACTTATGGTAAGACTTGAAGAAAAATTTAACTCGCAGCTGTCAGTGTGGGATAAGAAAATCACCGATTGTATTACAAACTGCGTTGCATCTGCTGTTAGTGTAGCCATCTCAAACGAGTTAACTAAAATCTCAGATGTGCTGTCAGAGATAAACTTAAATGTTACGAAACTTAACTCTGATTACATATCTCTTAATACATCCCTAGAAAAAACCAACAACCGTCTTACTGATATTGAAAAATCATTAGCTTACGCTTCAGAGAGGCAAGACTGCGTTGACACCCGCCTTAAAACTCTAGAAAGCATTGCGGAGACGCACACTAATGACTCAAATAAAATAAGTTTACTCGAAAACAAGATTATGTCAATGGAGCAACAGGCACGCCAGTGCAATTTAGAAATATGTAACGTACCGGAACGTCGTGGTGAAAACCTTATTACTATTATGGAATGCCTAGGCAGTGCTTTGAAACAACAAATACGAACGACCGATATCGTGTCTGTTCACCGTGTACCCCATGCCGATCAAAATAATCCGCGCCCAAGGAACGTAATATTAAAAGTGTCGACGAGAGTATTACGTGATAACATCATCGCGGCATACCGTGCCACAAAAAGTCTTGACAGCACGAAGTTAGGCGTCAGCGGGTCTCAAAGCACTACCATATACGTTAACGAGCATTTAACACTCAATAATAAGATATTGTTTCGCCAATGTCGTGAGTCTGCTAAAAAATATGACTATAAATACGTGTGGGTCAAACACGGGATTATATTGGCAAGGAAACATGATGCGTCTCCTGTCATCAGTATTCGATCTCAGCAGGACATTCCAAAAATTAAGTGATACAATATACGAGTACAATCTGTCATATACTTATAATAGTTGCAACATAATTGTTTTGTTTCAAATGCTATATTATTTTTCAATAACTGTCACTGGAGGGTATTTTCACGCACTTTATGTTGTGTACTTTGTGGTAAAGAGTCTAGCTATACTTATCATTATAATACGTTATCTTTTTGCGAAATATTACAAAAAACTGTTGAATTGTATTTATGTATTGTATGAGTGTCTGTATGTATGCAGTGCGCAAATTGTTAATAGCTGTAGACGGTGTGTTATCGTGATATTGTTGATTTCTGGATGGGCACAAGCATTAAATCAATACGTATTTATTATAGTGTACAGTAATAATGGATAGTCTGTCTATATATTATCAAAATTGTCGAGGTTTACGTACAAAACTGCATGTATTATTTATGAATATTTTGTCACATAATTATAGTATAATCGTGTTGACTGAAACGTGGCTACATAGGGATATATGCGACAATGAATTCATAGATCCTCGTTATCGAGTGTTCCGATGCGACAGGGACCGCGCGAGCAGCGGCCGGAACGATGGCGGTGGCGTCTTGGTGGCGGTGCGCACCGAACTGAACGCGACGTGGGTTGCAGTGCCGCCCGGGGCGCCCTGCCCCATGTCGCCACTCATTGACCATGTCCTTATTGAGTTGCGTTCCCGTAGATACTGTTGTATTATTAGTGCGGTTTATATACCACCTGCTACGCATTCGGACGCATATACGACACATTTAGATTACTTAATGTTCATATTGCATTTCACTAATATAACAAATTATGTTCTGATAGGGGATTACAATTTACCTTTTTTTTTTTTTTTTCTTTTTTTTTCCCGTGCGGAAATCCCCTCGGATACCACCTGTCGGTGGCATGTCGGACTCGAACCGACTAAAACCGCACGCCTTCGCCGGGTACTAATAGCCGGGGAACCAGGTATACCCTAGAAAGGAAGGCCCTGGTGCCCCGACATACCTCGGGTCATCTACAGACGAGTAGACGACCCCCGCCCCGTGTGGGAACCCCATGTTCCCTGTGCTCCCTGGAAGCGAGCGCGCTTCGCAACGCGCTCGCCGCCACCCCGGCCTGCTTCTGCTAGGGTGACAGATGGCCTCACCTGTCACCCCCAGGCCTGCGCTTATGGAGGACGAAGGTCGTTCTGCGACCTCCGGCGCCTGAGTCGCCTGCGCTGCCTGGCCCGTGCCCGGGCCTGGCGGGCCGGGAGAGTTCTAAACCTCTCCCGGTCCCGCTCCGCCGTCTCCTTCGCGAGCATAACTTGCTCGCAGAAGGAGACGGCAGAGTTCCACGCACTCTCGCTCCGCACGATAGCCGCAATCAGGCTATCGAGCGAGAGAACTCCCACTCCGATGGCCGCCACGAGGTCTCGCCTCTGCTCAACCCACGCCGGGCACTCTGCAAGGATTACAATTTACCTGAAATATTATGGGAGGATTGCAATGTACATACCGTACCCCGTCTTGTAAGCAATTGCACTGCATCTTCTAAGGTCTTTATTAATTTCATGCTTATATTAAATTGTTTTCAGTATAATACATTTAGAAATAGAAATGGACGACTTTTAGATTTATGTCTAACTGACATCGCCGATTGTAGATTAATACAACCCACGGTATCTCTCGTTCCACTAGACTCTAATCATCCACCTTTTTACATAATCTTTCCAATAAGTAGTAACTCCTTAAATTTAATAAATCGCCCCAAAACGCAATTACAATTTAATAAAGCCGATTACACACTAATAAATCAAGACATTGCCAACATTTCCTGGAGTGAACTATTGGTAAATAGAGATGCGGAGTCAATGGTGACTATTTTTTACGAACATATCTACGAAATTATCAAACGATATGTACCCAAGAGAGTAATTAAATCGTCTCAATTTCCAGTCTGGTTTTCACCCGCTCTTATCCATATTTACAAAAATAAAAATAATTACTGGATCAAATGGAAAAAATATGGAAATAAATCGGACTATGAAATTTTTTCTTTATTAAGGAAAAGATTTAAACGTGTATCGCATGAGTGTTACAGAGGGTATATAGCAACGGTAGAAAATAGTATACAGAAGAATATAAGATGTTTTTGGTCCTTCGTCAAAAATAGGAGAAATAAAATGGATATGCCTTGTAAAATGACGTATAAAAATGGCACAGTTTATAACCCAGACGAGGCGTGTTCTCTGTTCTCGTCATTTTTCGAATCAGTTTTTGAACCCTCATGTGTTACCGACAATCTTGATGTTGACGATATGCCAAGTTGTAACCCTGCATCCGATATCTTCCTTAATGATATCCAGCTGTCTAGTGATGCAGTACTCCGGGAGTTAAAAAATTTAGACATTACAAAGGGGCCCGGAGTGGATAACATACCACCAATTTTTTGGAAAGCTACTGCTCAAACTATTCATGTGCCCGTATGTTTTATATTTAATTCGTGTCTCAATGAGGGTGTTTTTCCGTCTATATTCAAAGCAGCCCGTATTGTACCAGTTTTCAAAGGTGGAGATAAGTCCAACATAGAGGACTATCGGCCCATATCTATCTTGACCACACTGTCGAAGTCTTTTGAAAGGCTAGTGTATAATAACGTTTATCCATCTATCCATAATGTAATTATTGAGGAACAACACGGTTTTGTAAAAAGACGCACCTGTAATACAAATTTAATAATTTATACATCATATTTATTTGAAAGTATGGATGAAAATAAACAGACAGACAGCATTTACACTGATTTTCGAAAGGCATTTGACAGGGTGGATCATAAATTACTATTAGAGAAGCTGGCCTTTAATGGTATACGCGGCAACTTGTGGCGTTGGTTCAAATCTTACATCACCAATCGCACACAAAAAGTAGTCTTGAAAGGTCATGAATCCGATTATACTGCTGTTAGCTCTGGCGTTCCTCAAGGCTCAATTTTGGGTCCGCTTCTGTTTATTCTTTTTATAAATGACGTCACATCCTCATTTAAATTTGCCAATATTTTACTTTACGCTGATGACTTAAAGGTTTATCACAAAATTGAACAGCAGGATGATCATTATAAAATTCAGCAAGATCTTGACCGTTTTACAGCATACTGTATTAAGAATAAACTTGCATTGAGTGTCAATAAATGTAAATCTATCACTTTCACTAAAAAGAAAAATGTCAGTAAATTCAATTACACTTTAAATGGTATACAAATTGAAGAAGTGGAAGTAATACGAGACCTGGGAGTCCTCTTAGACAGTAAGCTACAACTTGATAACCATGTCGACACTATAGTTAGCAACGCTTTTAAAATGTATGGTTTCATTTTTCGCTCCAGCACATGTTTTACTCAGCCCTCGACTTATCTTTATTTATATAAATCTCTAGTTCGCTCACAACTTGAATATGCTGTGCCAGTCTGGAATCCATTTTATGAAAAGTATATAACTGCCATAGAATTAGTCCAAAAAAATTTTTTGCGCTGTATGCATTACAGGTGCTATCGCAAATCGTCTTCATATAAAGATCTACAAATAAAATATAACTGTATAACATTAGAACATAGACGCTTATATTTACAAGCAATGTTACTGTATGATCTATGCCACAACAATTATGATTGCGTTGCACTTACGAGCAAGCTTTGTTATGTCGTACCCGCAAGGACTCATTGTCGTAACATCTGTAAAATTTTTGCAACTTCTCGATGTCGAACTAATGCAGGCAAGAGATCACCGATGCACAGGTTAGTTGATAGTTATAACAAGCATTTTCTTACTATTGATCTTATGGCAACGCGTCCTAGTACTTTTAAAAAACTCTTGCTGGAAAGTCTGAATTTTAATTAATATAAAACATTAAGCTACTATAAATATCCATAATGTTACTTTGTAACTATGAACTCTCAATGTTCTCAAACCCTATAAATATTACTTCATTACTCTGTGGTAAATGTCGCTGATGACACAGTTGCACATACTTAATAAGTAATGTTATTTAAAACTTTGTATTGTGTCGTTGTTTATTTACCTAAATAAATGGAAAAAAAAAAAAAAAAATGGAAAAAAAAAAAAAAACTACAAATTGTTATTAGCCAGATCTTAAGCGGCGGTGGTTTGGGGACTTTTTAGCTTTTTGTTAATACTCAACATATGTATATTACGTAAAACAACTTATATATACATTAACTTATTCAGGCATACAAATATTTGTATTGAGTTTGAAACAAACCTACGCCAGCTACATGTAAGTCGTGAATCTAGTCGAAAGGAAAATCATAAGTCATTTAGTTCTTAACAGTACAATTTGTATTAAACAATATATTAAATTTCCTAATTAAACAATTAAATAAATCTATTAGTAAAAATATTTCGATGTCACTACTTAATAAAATATTAAATACACTGTCAATAAATTCATACAAAAACTAACACCTATTTTTCCTTGTTCTGTATCTGGGTGTTATTTATCTATCGATATTATTAATTATATATTCCGAGTGTGCGGTTTAAACGCTACTTCCTAGTACGCTGAGTGTTATGGGTATGATCCCCACATGGGACAACACTTTGTGTGATCCACAAATTGTTGTTCTAAGTCTGGGCGTTCTTTGTGTCCGTTTCATGAATGTTTGTAAAGCCCCCTGTGATACTGAATGTATTCCTAGTGCGAGTGCTGTCTCATAAAATAATAAGAATAATAATATTTATGTATTTAGAAATATATAAGTATGTTTATCAACATTCTAGTTTCCATAGCACAGGTTCTGTCTAATTTAGGATCAGGCAACCTTGTGTGAGAAATTTGAGGTTATTATTATTTTCTTTTTTAGGCTACTACTGGTGCAACAATGCTCTTCTTGTGGTCTTCCTGTGTCCTCCATTTGTTGACTTAGCGAAAATGTGGATGGGATATGATGGCAAATATATCTTGCCTTTCTTCTACTGGTTCCCCTTTGATCCCTTTGAACATGGTTACACAGTAATTCTAGCGGCGCAAACTTGGCATGGTAAGTAATAAAATAATCAATTTCTAACGTTTTGTGGAATTAATTATTGCCGTTGTTGCGACGGAAACACCCGCTATGGAGGGTTGGCTTGAGCGGCATCACGGGACCCTCTCATACCGACTGTCGCAGGTGATAACCGGGAAAGGTTACTTTGGAGATCACCTGTGTCTAATTTGCAAGGAGTCACCGCTTGAGTGCCACTCAAGCGGCAAGTGCCTGCGGTGGCCGGACCGTGGACACGGCGCTCCACACGCTGACAGAATGCCCGGCGTTAGTGGACTAGAGACGTGACTATGTGATGAACATCGGAGTGGGAATTCTTTCGCACGGTACCATGAATTCGGCCATGGTACGGAGCAAAAGCGCGTGGAAAACCGCTGTCTCCTTCTGCAAGTTATGCGAGACGGTAGAGAAGGACCGGGAGAGGTTTAGAATTCTCCCGGTCCAGTCTGTTCTGGGAGATTTCTAAACCTCTCACGGGTTTTGCGGGAGAGTTATAAAGCTCTTCCGGAATGACTACTTGTGCTCACTAACTTAAATACAATTCCTCCACAAGCGCGTTTTCATGTCAGAACTCTTCAAAGTTATAACAATTGTATTTCAGCTCACTAAACTACGCCAACAAACTGAACACACGTCATTAGTCAACGTCAATGTTCAGAACAAAACCGTTTACAGAATGGGAACTTTTACACCAGCCAATAAAACACATACATGAAACGAACTCTGATTAAATGAAAAATACTGATTTCATTTATTTGAAACTAGCTTTTGCCCGTGGCCCATATCGCGTGTATGGCGGTTATCAGTAGTCTATGTCCTTCCTCAAGAATCAAAGTAGGTATACCCTCCATGTCAAATTTTATTAAAATCGGTTCAGCGGCTTAGCTTACAGACCCAGACAGAGTTACTTTCGCATTTATACGTAATATTGAAAAATAGCATGTATTCTACTACCAAATTATCAATAAATACACAAATTATTAGTAGGGATCTCGTACTGTTTTCATCCTCATGACTTATGTGCCATACTTTATAGTTTTAAAACTCAAGTATAAGAATTTCAAGATTAAAAAGAGAGGAGTAGGTACATGAAAGATCTGTGCAACCCGCCGATAAGTATACCGTTAAGTGCTGGCTAAACACGGTGTGTAAACTCTGTAGGATAAAGCTTTCCCGATCGATTGGCTGGTGTCCGTTTTACCTCCCATTATAACTACTATACACTACAAATAATATGGGTTACAGCAAAAAATACTTATACAGAATTGACCATCGTCACATTTATTTTGCTAATGACAAACATGAATGCAATTTTAATATATATGTATACATTACAGGTTTAATAACGATATGGTTCATGTTATCGGGTGATCTTTTGTTCTGCATATTCCTGAGCCACATAACAACCCAATTTGATCTGCTGTCAGTCAGGATACAAAGACTAGTCTATGTCGACGTAGACAAACAACTTGTAGATACATACCCACTTGGTGAGTCTTCAAATTGAACCGTACATTTAAATATATTCTTTCAATCGTTTCTTACCAACCAACAATCGACTACACATTTTTAAAATATACTTAAAGAATATAGCTCACTTCAGACCCATAATGTTTTAGTATTCGTTAAGTTGCACGGTTTAATAGTGTGTATGCCTATTTTCACTTTACTTTTGTCTCTCGCTTTGCTGAGGAGGGAAGTGGATTTGTTACATTTGTAACTCTTCCAATTTACTTCTGATTAATTTCTTTGCGGTTTTCAAGAAAATTTAACTTTGCCTGGGATTTCTCGAGTGTCATTCCTCGGTGTGTTTGTGGTTCACTGCTGCTGATGTCTGTGCTCAGAAGTTGCAGTAGCGGGTGTGTGGGAGGGATTGGTCCCATTTAAAAAGTGTGCTAAACGACTAATGTTTTAAAAGTACATTCGTATAGTAAAATATAAATTATGTTAGTCAAACTACACCTCATTCATATCTTATTGACTAATTTCATTTCTCATAATGTCGTATAAGAAATCATAAGTGTCATAATCTTAAATATATACATAATAATATTTAAGATTATGACACTTAATAATGTTATTAATCACCATTAAAGAAGACCATTACTTGTATAAAACACACGAAAACTTTTACAACATTCAAACATTTCTTTGTAAGTAAACTGTTATCACAACACATTAAGAATCGTCATCGAGGCTCTCCAATGGTGTATATCCAATTAACCAAAAGCGGAAAGCGCACTTTGTGTTAATTATTTGTATACAAATAATGTTAGAAATCAGTATGTTAGTTTAGGAAGCCTGGCTTGTTTCTAAGCTTTTTTTGTGCGTATCTCTATGTTACTAGGATGTTTTCTTATTTCCTTTTCAAGGCAAATTCATTTGGATGAGGAAAACCTTAACAAGATAGTTTACATTAGGTTGATTAGAAACACTTTGTCTCAAGTGAAATACTAAGATATAGATATTGTATGTTTATTGTATGTTTACATGTTTATAAAATATTGTTTTGCAAATAATAATTTTCAGATTTTAGAAAGTAGAATAAATAAAACATTAAGGCAAAAAGAAAAAAAAACACATTTATACCACTTGCAGAAATGTTAGAACGGGGAAATTTGATCTCCATTTAAAACTATAAGACCTGAAAGTTGAACAAAAACTGGAACTCATTAATACAAGGTTATTTAAAACATGAACACTTATTCGGTTTATTATTTCAGGAGAATACTGTAAGAACTATGCAAACAATCACAAACATATAGTAGACTCGTTCAGTGATAACGAATGGAGTGTTTTGCACAAGCAAGAGCTAAATAAAATAATTTTGAGACACCATGCATTGATAAGGTAATTTTCAAACATTTTTACATAGTAGTCCGATAATTTGATTTGATAAGTTGTCCGATTTTGATAATTCTTTTTTTATTGGGAAGGGTATACCCCGAAATTGATCCCATATAAATTTGGAAAAAATCCAACCCTAAGAATAGGAAAACAGGGGATGATTGATTCTTCACTCACTGATTGTAATGTATGACCATGCATAACTGTTTACAGAGTAGTCCGATTTTGATAATTAGAGAATTAGATAGGGTATACCTCGCAGTTGACCCATATAAATTTAGAAAATAAAAACTACCCTATGGGTGGGAAAATAGGGGTAATTTATTGTTTACTCACAGATTTTTGTTGGATTATATAACAGTTAAAAACCCTTTTTTATTCAACCTTAATAACTAAGTTCTTAAACTAATGTAGGTATACCTGTACCTGTAATTTTGAGTAGACGCATTTTTTGAAATGTTAATGTTTAGTTTTAATTAAGAACTCAAAGGTTAAATAAAAAAGGTTTTTTTTTCTATTCAGTTTTTCGGGGTTTTTTTTTGTTAAAAAGTTTTTTATTAATTTAGATCTGACAATTGCCATTGGTAACATATTTGTATTATGTTAGATATAATTTGTAAAAATAGAGTAGATAACGAGTAAGATGTTATCCACTGTCTCACACAAATATCACAACAAAGTCCTCTTGCTACTTCTACACTATTTCCGTTTTTAATCTCTTTTCTTCATAGGCTTGCAGGTGATGTAGAACATATGTTCAGCTTTGCTCTTCTAGTTAACTTCTTCAACAGTTCCATCATCATATGTTTCTGTGGATTTTGTTGTGTCGTAAGTATTCTATTGCTTAAATTCAGATGCCTTCTAAAACAATACTACGTTATAATTTCCGTTTATAGATAAAGTTTCTTTCTTTCCTACAACAAAACGAGCGTGTGTTACAGTAATCGCATATTATGTGTAAAATCGGACAACTCACCTGCCATCAGAGGGCCAAGTGCAGGTTTATTTCACTTCTACTCGACCGTCACGATGACCGCCATCGGCGGCGCTGCGATTGGCCCACACTGAAATCTTCACCAATCGCTGTCGAGAGCGGGTTGATGTATAATAAACTTGCACTAGGTCAAAGACGGCCAACTATAGCACCGCGGGTTGTCATTGGGCAAATGAATAGCGCGCTTTCCCGGCTTTCTGTTACTTACTTCAACAGAATCTCTGGAATCTTTTAAATATGTGATAAGTAAAATGATTAATGTGATTTAGTTCTGTTTTATTTTTTATTTCAGATAGTGGAAAAGTGGAACGAACTCGTTTACAAGTCATTCCTAACAACAGCGTTATCACAAACATGGCTTCTGTGTTGGTATGGACAAAGGCTTTTAGAATCTGTAAGTGGATAGATTTATTAATTTTGGTTCAGTCAAAGTAAGGGTATAGAACTTAAGGAAAACCTACACTAGACTGTTACTGTTAGTACACTGCTGTTGTGAAACGGTCTAGGTTTAAAAACGTCTTACCGATGGACCCAGCGCGTTTAAAAAAAAGGTTTGTGGCTTTTTGGCTTTGTGTGGCTCGACTAAAAAAAAAGCAGAAATATAAGACCTACCTCGAAAACATTTATAACATACAATTAAGCATCTTAAAAATAATTGTACCTAGAAAAACTAAACTACAATTTAAAGAAGACGAATGTGGCCTATTTAAACACTGTCAAATATTAAATGTTTTCGATAAAGTGAGCGTATGTGTACTAGATGAGGAATACCACAACCTTGCTAAATTGAAGAAAAATATAAGATTGGAGTCACTACGGCACTTGTCATACCTACCCACTTATAGAACACCTAAGCATACTTATGTATATTAGACGCGGACGTGGGAACACATGCTACCCCGTATAATGAACAAGATACCTATCGAAGCCTGTAGCAAGATGAATAAAAAAAAATTGTAAAACTGTTTACATAAAATATTTACTGTCTAGCTGATACTCAACTTTATACATATACCTACATATGTAATTAAATTGTAACTGAGATGTGTCTGGTATACCACGGATAAACTCTTGATGGTTTGTGTGGTATACGATGGATAAAATGCATGTGTGAATTTTATATTAAACAATAAATAATAATAATAAAAAAGAAAAAATCTTTTTAATTGAATAAATTCCAGAAGTAGTAAATTAAATTGATATTTTAAATATTTTCTATTTAAACACCCTCTTTCAATGACATGGTTCTAATTTAGCGTTTTTCCATGGACAACTTGCAAATTCTTAGAAATATTATTGAACATTGATTCGATATCATTGACTTCTATGCAAAGTTTGAGAATTACGACGTTCTTTTGAAAAAACTTTTTGTACAAGTTTAAAATTGAAAGAAAGTCCAATCAATAATAACTTTTGTTGAAAAAGTTTTCAGCGTCAATAAGAAATTATAAACCAATGCGCGGCATGCTTTAGCACAAATAGGTATATCGGCTTGTGTCTCCGATAACCTCACTCATTCGGTGTAAAACAACGAAAGAAGTGCTTAACACCGAATTTCTATGATGGCGTAGTATTACTTAGAGACTCTGGGTTTTGCTATTAGTTAAATATAATAAACCCACTTAGCGCTGCCTCCTTACACACACACACCTTCGAATTATAACTTACTTCTCTTACATTTAAGGCAGTGGGTAATTGGCCTTTACCAAGATAGATTTTTTGTAGTATACCTTTTTTTGCAGAGCGCACGAGTGTCAGACGCTCTGTACGAGTGTGGATGGTATAAAGCCGCCCAGAATATTAAGAGCTCTGTACTCATCATGTTGCATAGGTAAGTAAATACTCGTAGGTACCTACTTAGCTATCTGCTTTATGATTTGGCGATTTTAGAGCCTACCATGTGTGTGTACCTACTGCAATGTGTGTACCTGATAAATACCGTACGCATTCTAACGTTACTGTTACATTATATTTTACCTTAATTAAATTATTTTCAATGAAGAATCTGTATTCTCCATAAGTATCAAAAACTTTACTTTTAAATTCTATGCTTTTTCGGTGGATTTCATTATCCCATTAAGGAAACAATATTTTATCCAGCTTTTGGCAATTCTATATATGTAAGTATGAGATGATTTGACAGCACGGATGCCTTAGTGGTTTAATCGGTCACCTCACCGCTTTCTACTTCGCTGACTGTTGTGGGTTCGATGCCCACATGGGATAACACTTGGTTTAATCCACCAATGGTTGTTCTGATTCTGATTGTTCTTTGTTTCAATATGTGTGTAAAGTACCCCGTGACACAGAATATATCCTATTGCGGGAGTTGTCTTTTTTAAGAGAAAAAAAAGATGATTGGTCCTAGGTAAATATATTCTTCTACATATTCGAGAGGATGGTTATTGATTTTAAACTCTATGTTTTTGCAGTTAGTTAGTAGTTTGGTCTTGTTTATGTTCCATGTATAGTCCGGTTTTTTAAAATTACGTTCCATTTCTTTAATCATTATCCCTAGAACTCCCATAAAAACATGTACCAAACTCGTAAACATATGAGACGCATCATTTAATTTTAATATTTTCTCTATTCAGGTCTCAAAAAGATATCCATGTCACAACATATGGGTTTTCAGTTATTTCACTGTCAAGTTATACAACGGTGGGTATTTGTCTCAAGATTATTTTTAGTTTTATTGCAATAAAATACACACCTGGACAAATAACTCCCATAACATAACTCAGAAAACGATTAAGTAGATCGTTAGTTAACTTATGTCCATCCTGTCTTGATTTTAAAATATATATACCCACACATCAAAGTGAAATAAAGCAGCTACGCATTCTTCCTTCATACTGCTATAGTTTTGTAAAGGCAATAGAGAATTTGTTTTTTTTAGGAAAGGCAAATTAAAAGTATTAATCGGGTTATCTTTTCAGATCATCAAAACTTCTTGGTCTTACTTCACTCTACTACTGAATATTTATAAAAATTAAAAGTTTGTCGGCAGTCTCGTCTTTGTGTGCGTGGCAAAATCTTTTTTGATTTTTAAAGAATTCAGATCATTCACAAAAATAACTATGAATTTAGTTAGCATGCACTTATACTTTAGTTTTCTGAGAATAAAAATGGTTGACTAAGCACTTTCAATTAGGCATAATTTTTGCAATAAAATAAACATGTTAGTTAAATGTTTAATGGCTGTTTTATTTCTTAATTCTATCGAACAATCAAACCAATCGGTGACTATGCAACTGCTGTGTTGAGGTCTCCGGTTCGATTTCCGGGTCGGACCAAATGTTTGTATATGATCTACAAATATTTGTTTCGGAGTTTGGGTGTTTTCTATGTACAATATGTGTGTATTTACAAAAAAAAAGTATTTACGTATTCTATCAGTTAATCTAGCTTTCATAGTACAAGCTATGCTTAGTTTGAAACTAGATGGCGTTGTGTGTCAGGTGTCCGAAATATTATTATTATGAATCTAATTTTCTCAAGAAAAATAAACAAACATCCTAGTCTAAGTCTCTCACATAGTTTTTATAAACCTAACAGTAGACGGCTATCTTCTTTTATTTAAAAGTAAACATCAAACTTATCCCCGTCCACACCTACTGGACAGTTTCCAATAGACATCTTTCTATAACTCTACTTCAATGCAAATACTACTTGTCAAGTACCACCCTCGCGACCTTAAAATTATTCTGGAAACACTATGTAAACAGTATGGAAACTTTTTGTAATCATGTTGGTTCCAAAAAGTCCACATGTAATCACTATAGTTTTACTCTAGTTTCAGGAATGAATTGACTATGAATACAATATGGTTTCAATATGTAATCACTGAAATATGCACGGTTACAGAATGAAACCAAAGACTCTAACTCGTAGGGTAGAGTATCATTAATAATATCTCCTATATTCAAGTATAAGCAGCATGAATTGTTTGCTTTTTTCTTACGCTTTCATGCCTAAACCACTAAACCCATTTTAAAACTTAAACAATGGAAAACTATATCATCAGCGAATAATATAGCCTACTTTTTTACCACGATAAGCCGCGGGCAAAAGCTAGTAATATATAATTGATTATATTATCACTTTCATCATCAATTCAACCAATTTATTTGAATCAAATATAATATCTTACTTATCTCAACGAGTATTTTCATATTTTCAAATTAGTCATCAAATTAAAAAAAAGCAATCGAGTTTCAAGTACTTAACTGTTAGCTAAAGTATATTTCAGATCGCCAGAGCATGATTGTTAGACATTAAGAGGGGCCTATAATTAGCAGGTGATGTAATCTATTCGATATCTATTTAAAAAAAAACTATAAATCTGTTCATCTAATGTGCATGTCAGCCAAAAAAATAAATATTTTTTTTTATGTTAAAAAATCAAAGGACATATTCTGATTTTTATATTTGTGGCAATACTGCTAATGTCATTAGTGTCAATTGCTCGGTGCACAAGCGCACACAGCACATCATCCGGCCTGTGAACATTGTTTGTGTTTCTCTATTACGTATTGTACCAACAAACGTTATGTCTAACAAAAAGAATAAAGAAATTCACGACAGTGAGAGTGAAGAGGAACAAGATTCAGGCAGCGAAAAAGATTCTGACTTTGACTCCGATGGCAATTTCGTTGGTGATAAGGTAAACCATAACATAACCTATAAAACACATGGCATACCGAATTTTGCAAATACACATTTATTAAAAAGTTTTTTTTACAAATTTTGCGTTTGTCGATACCAGAATTTTGGGGCTTTTTGATTTCCATTTTATCATTTTGTGTGTTTGATACTCTTTCTATTAACATTTGTTGTTATTATTTTAAACAAACGTCGTATCAATTTCAAAACATTATGAAACATTGTTTCAAAGGTATTTAAATTACAAACCTATTTAATAGGAATTACAAGCGGACTTCGAAGGTCGAAACCCAGAGGATTGTGACTTCCATGGAATCAAGCAGCTTTTGCGTCAACTGTTCTTAAAATCCAACGTGGAATTGGGAGGACTTGCACAAATTATAATCTGTAAGTTAATAAATCACACATAAATAATTATTCTTCAAATCTATTTATATGTAAATACAGTTTACTTTTTTGAAAATGAAATACAATAGAAGAATGTAATAACATGTCATAGCTGCTCATATTCTATTTTTAAAAAAGATAGTAAAGTAAAATTGGGCAATACTTCTGATATTATTAACCTTTTTTTTTTTTTTTTTCCGTGCGGAATCCCCTTGGATACCACCTGACGGTGACATGTCGGACTCGAACCGACTAAAACCGCACGCCGTCTCGGGTACTAATAGCTGGGGAACCAGGTATACCCTAGAAAGGAAGTCCCTGGTGCCCCGACATACCTCGGGTCATCTACAGACGAGTAGACGACCCCCCCTCGTGTGGGAACCCCATGTTCCCTGTGCTCCCTGGAAGCGAGCGCGCTTCGCAATGCGCTCGCCGTGATATTATTAACCCTATCAATTACACTATGTTTTAATATTATGAGTAATTTCAATGTTCTAATTTTTTAAAGATTCAGAATAAAAATTATACATTTTTTTTAAATGTCAACTTATTAGTAAAGTTTGAGTAATTCACTAGTAAAATAAGTTTCTATAATAAAATTTTGTACTTTAAAAAAATGAAATATTAATGTTGATTTTATTTCAGCTCAAAACTATGTAGGCAGTGTGGTTAAACAGTGTTTGGATTATGGCCAAGATGAAGATGATGATGATGACGATGATGGTAGTGATGGAGTATTTGGTATTACCACAATTATCAATATTACAAAGAGAAAGGTAAGTTTGAAAGCAAAAAATTAGCACTACTTAATTATGCAAAAACTACATGCTATCTTTGCCAATATAAAAATGGGCATGATGATTTTGTTCTGTGTGTGGATGTAATTAGAAATATGTAAGTATGTTTATCGGTAATCTGGTTACCATATCAGCTATGCCTAGTTTGGGATCAGACAGCCTTGTGTGAGATGTGTGAGGTTAATATTATTATTTCTATCTCACCTGATTAGTAATATATAGAACTCCAATTGCAAATAGATAATTTTACAAATCACAGATGTAATATATGCGAAAGTTTTATATATTGTATTATATGTGTATATTGTTTAATTGTTTTAAATCAAATAATTTGTGCTAAAAAGAATAAAAATTTTTTTTTTTTTAGGATGAGCAATGTATACAACAGATAAGATCACTTTTGACAACTTTGGCAGATGATAACGCCGATGACAGGACTAAAGCATTAGTCAAAAAGATATTAGCCAATGATTCTGAACATGTTGGATTTGTTATTAATGAAAGGTGAGTTTATCTGTAGTTAAAATAGTAGTGTTTCATTATTATAACTTTCCTGCCCAACTACCAATTCTATTTAGGATTTGTTCAATGTGCGACAAGGTTGTAGGTTCGGTTCCTACCCAGGACAAATAATTGTGTGACAAGAATGATCATTTGTTCTTTGTCTAGTTGATGATTAATACTAATATATATAATTTTTATACTACTATATATGATTTATACTAATAATAGCTATGTATGAATTTAGAAATATATGAGTATGTTTATCAGCTATCTGAAGGCCAATTCTCATAATAAAAGTTCAGTCACAATAACTAGAACTTTACATTTTCCAGGATCCTAAACATTCCAGCGGCAATTAGCGTGCCTCTGTTCTCATCATTGCAGAGTGAACTAGACAAGGCAGTAAAGAAAAACATGCCATACACATTCCACTACCTCATCTGGATATGCAAGACATACAACACAGGAGGTATGTTGTTTTGTAAACATATATTGTTAATGTTTATACAGTCTGGCTGAAACACAAAGATGGTGGTTTACAAATAATAAAGATCATCCATTGATTAGTGTGAGGGCCTCCGTTTTTTGATACACAATTTCATCTACAAGTGGCTAGTTCCTTTATAGATTGAAACTATCTCTTGCCTGCGGCTGAATTCATTATAACTAAATTCTATTATCTTGATTTTGACAATCTTTTTTCCAAAGAAAGTAGCCTTTGTACTATTTGAGACTATAGTCTCTAATAATCTACGCCAGACTTCCTCTAGATCCGTTCAGCCAATCTGGCGTAATTATAATAGTAGTATGATTACAAGACAAATACTCAAACATTCATTCAATACTCAAAAATTCAATCACAGGCCATTGTTTTAATTAATTAAAATCTGTTTATCATTGAATGCAATTGTTTTACAAATTTCACGTTGTAATTAATATCTAATTGTTAACAGAAGAATCGTCAGAAGTGCTATTTGCTAACCAAGAAGAGAAACCAATAGCAGACGAAGCGCTGGCCAGCTTCGACGTCGATGTTACTGAGCAGGCAGAACTCTCACAGTGGGACTATGAAGGAGGTGCATTGACACCTTGTAGAAAGGTACACTAGTGTTTTATAAGTTGAGGTATTAGTTAGAGTGGTACACAGTACTAATGTAATAATGTTATTTTTTAAGACTGTGGGACTCGTGAAATATAGTTGTCTAGTCAAAAAGCTGCAAAATTTATTAGTTTATTATTAAAAACGCTTTCGGGTAATTATTGTTTTGAAGTGCCTAGTAAATGAAACTTAAGTTTTTTAATTGAAAAAAGAAGAACTAAAACTAAAATTATAAAATAACTTTCTTCTTTTACTAGTAGTTATGAAAAAGATTCTGAAGAGTAAAATGCTATGCCCAAATCAAAATCAAATAACAAGGTCAAGTAAGAAACAAATAATACAACTACTAGCATTCCTAATTTCTTAATTCATTTGTTGCAGGTCCTCATATTCGACGGCAGTAAATTCAATAATCTAGTGAGACTTATCAAAGAGGAAGTGGAAGCCATTTAAAACTGCTTTTATATAACTGTGACATATAAATTTATGCCATACACGCAATGTATACATATTTATATTTTTATTATTACTTAATAAACTAAGCTTTACTTATATCGATTTCATTATTTTTGTGTGTCTAAGTACATCGGAAATTCTCAGACATAGGTACTGATGGCTTATATTTACTTTTATGAAAATGTCAGTCTTTATGATTCTGTTTTCGTTATTCCTAAGTAGTGGTATTGTTCGTTGAAATTTGGATGGGACCAGCTGAGAAGCTAAATTCAGATTTATGGAAGGTTATTTTTAATGTCCCATAGTTTACTGGCAGAGCTCTTCTTAAACAGCATCAGAAGGCCATCAGGTCTAAAAAAATGAGTTTTGAAATACATAAAAATATTCCCTCTAAAAATCTTTATATCATTATATTAATACAGTTGTCTGGTTTTTATAATAATTAAACATCCGCGAAGTGATAGTCTCGGCTTGAGTCCAAATCTTCGAAGGACACGTTCGAACGGCCGGTACCTTTTCCCTTAAAAATAATAGGTAGATGCGGTCTGAGAGCAGGGTCAAGTTGGATACTCCATTAAAAGTCAAACCCCATTTTCTAGAACAGTTCCACACATAAGATCAAGGCCAGCTTTAAAATAACACACATCACATTAACAGCTTTTAATAGTTTACTGCTGACTTGGGCCTCTTTTTAGAAAGGAAGTTTTGGGCTGATAAAAATAAAGTCCCTTATATTCAGATTTTTTATGCTGAAAAAGAAAACACCATATTCCTTTAATGATTTTTATTTCGACAGTAGTCAGATCCTTACAAAGTATTAGTCGTTAAGAATACAAACAGACCTTACAAGCTTACCTTCGAATTAAACATAATACTATATTCCGCTATATAAGTAATTGAAAAATCTAAACATAATTTGTCTACACAGTTCGTGAAACAAGTTTTAAAACATTAATTAGGTTATAAAAATGACATAATTTTTGAAAAGCTTTTTCATATTATTCAAAAGGTTTTCAGTTAATATTGCCCAGTCATAAGTCAATATAATAGATTCCATGAATGCCATGAATATTAAAGTTTTTAACATACTAATTATACTTCTTCGAACATAGATACAAATTTGGATCTCAAGTCGAACGGAAAAAGAAATAGATTTTTCATTTTCACCGTCAGTATGTATGGCAACCCCAACTGCCTTGTAGATAAGTTGCCTATCATTAACCCTTCAAATTTCCTCTATTAGCATTAAAAATTGATATTATACGCCTTAGTCAGACACAGAGCATCCTTCATCATGAAGTCTCTCAAAGAGCATAAGCCTTTCAGGATCTTCGAATTCTGGTCCATTTTCTGGATGTCAGTTTCTGACAAACTCTTGTCCTGGGCTAAGTACCCGTTGATCGCTTCCTCTGTTATCCAGTGGGCTGGTACCTTGTGCATATTGTAATTAGCCGGGTCTGGATTGATCGGCATTGGTGTGAGAGATTTTTCCCATGGGGTTATGTATTTCTGTTCAGAGTGTAGACCTTCGATGTATCTGTAGAATAACGGATGAATGTAGTAGAAACATTAAAAAAGTATATTAAATTTCTGGTTGGACCAGTGAGCAGCAACCTCCAGAAAGAAGCTGTCACAGATTGACGATTTGATTGTTTTATATTAAAAAAAAAACAGAAAATATAAGAATTTCTTATGTTGAATAAAAAATGGGTTTTGATGAGGGAAAGCAATGTTGAAATAAAAAAAATGGTTTGATAAATTAGGTGTGGGGTGGATTTGAAAATGGAATCAAAAACACTTTTAGTGTCTTATTGAATAGTATATCTTTAAAAAAAATTGTTTAATAATTCTAGGGGTCTTATTTTTGAAAATTTAGCCACTGGGATCCCATTGTGTATAATCCCTCAGAGAAAATCTTGCAACATAATAATCCAATGTATTTTTGCTAATTTAAAATAGGTACAGTTTTTTTAAATATATTTTAGGAAAACTTACAGCTGGAAGTACAATTAATATAAGGTCTGACCATTGATGTTAAGACTGATGTCATTAGATGTTTTGCATCAGAATATTGAGTTGTGTACGTTAGATGCCAGTACGTACCGTATGTAGGCCTCGGAGTGCGTGAGCCTCTGCGCGCGCGGCGGCGCGGCCACGAAGAGCGGGTCGAGCGCGGCGCGCGCCACCACGCGGGTGTACGTTAGATGCCAGTACGTACCGTATGTAGGCCTCGGAGTGCGTGAGCCTCTGCGCGCGCGGCGGCGCGGCCACGAAGAGCGGGTCGAGCGCGGCGCGCGCCACCACGCGGGTGTACGTTAGATGCCAGTACGTACCGTATGTAGGCCTCGGAGTGCGTGAGCCTCTGCGCGCGCGGCGGCGCGGCCACGAAGAGCGGGTCGAGCGCGGCGCGCGCCACCACGCGGGTGTACGTTAGATGCCAGTACGTACCGTATGTAGGCCTCGGAGTGCGTGAGCCTCTGCGCGCGCGGCGGCGCGGCCACGAAGAGCGGGTCGAGCGCGGCGCGCGCCACCACGCGGGTGTACGTTAGATGCCAGTACGTACCGTATGTAGGCCTCGGAGTGCGTGAGCCTCTGCGCGCGCGGCGGCGCGGCCACGAAGAGCGGGTCGAGCGCGGCGCGCGCCACCACGCGGGTGTACGTTAGATGCCAGTACGTACCGTATGTAGGCCTCGGAGTGCGTGAGCCTCTGCGCGCGCGGCGGCGCGGCCACGAAGAGCGGGTCGAGCGCGGCGCGCGCCACCACGCGGGTGTACGTTAGATGCCAGTACGTACCGTATGTAGGCCTCGGAGTGCGTGAGCCTCTGCGCGCGCGGCGGCGCGGCCACGAAGAGCGGGTCGAGCGCGGCGCGCGCCACCACGCGGGTGTACGTTAGATGCCAGTACGTACCGTATGTAGGCCTCGGAGTGCGTGAGCCTCTGCGCGCGCGGCGGCGCGGCCACGAAGAGCGGGTCGAGCGCGGCGCGCGCCACCACGCGGGTGTACGTTAGATGCCAGTACGTACCGTATGTAGGCCTCGGAGTGCGTGAGCCTCTGCGCGCGCGGCGGCGCGGCCACGAAGAGCGGGTCGAGCGCGGCGCGCGCCACCACGCGGGTGTACGTTAGATGCCAGTACGTACCGTATGTAGGCCTCGGAGTGCGTGAGCCTCTGCGCGCGCGGCGGCGCGGCCACGAAGAGCGGGTCGAGCGCGGCGCGCGCCACCACGCGGGTGTACGTTAGATGCCAGTACGTACCGTATGTAGGCCTCGGAGTGCGTGAGCCTCTGCGCGCGCGGCGGCGCGGCCACGAAGAGCGGGTCGAGCGCGGCGCGCGCCACCACGCGGGTGTACGTTAGATGCCAGTACGTACCGTATGTAGGCCTCGGAGTGCGTGAGCCTCTGCGCGCGCGGCGGCGCGGCCACGAAGAGCGGGTCGAGCGCGGCGCGCGCCACCACGCGGGTGTACGTTAGATGCCAGTACGTACCGTATGTAGGCCTCGGAGTGCGTGAGCCTCTGCGCGCGCGGCGGCGCGGCCACGAAGAGCGGGTCGAGCGCGGCGCGCGCCACCACGCGGGTGTACGTTAGATGCCAGTACGTACCGTATGTAGGCCTCGGAGTGCGTGAGCCTCTGCGCGCGCGGCGGCGCGGCCACGAAGAGCGGGTCGAGCGCGGCGCGCGCCACCACGCGGGTGTACGTTAGATGCCAGTACGTACCGTATGTAGGCCTCGGAGTGCGTGAGCCTCTGCGCGCGCGGCGGCGCGGCCACGAAGAGCGGGTCGAGCGCGGCGCGCGCCACCACGCGGATGTACGTTAGATGCCAGTACGTACCGTATGTAGGCCTCGGAGTGCGTGAGCCTCTGCGCGCGCGGCGGCGCGGCCACGAAGAGCGGGTCGAGCGCGGCGCGCGCCACCACGCGGGTGTACGTTAGATGCCAGTACGTACCGTATGTAGGCCTCGGAGTGCGTGAGCCTCTGCGCGCGCGGCGGCGCGGCCACGAAGAGCGGGTCGAGCGCGGCGCGCGCCACCACGCGGGTGTACGTTAGATGCCAGTACGTACCGTATGTAGGCCTCGGAGTGCGTGAGCCTCTGCGCGCGCGGCGGCGCGGCCACGAAGAGCGGGTCGAGCGCGGCGCGCGCCACCACGCGGGTGTACGTTAGATGCCAGTACGTACCGTATGTAGGCCTCGGAGTGCGTGAGCCTCTGCGCGCGCGGCGGCGCGGCCACGAAGAGCGGGTCGAGCGCGGCGCGCGCCACCACGCGGGTGTACGTTAGATGCCAGTACGTACCGTATGTAGGCCTCGGAGTGCGTGAGCCTCTGCGCGCGCGGCGGCGCGGCCACGAAGAGCGGGTCGAGCGCGGCGCGCGCCACCACGCGGGTGTACGTTAGATGCCAGTACGTACCGTATGTAGGCCTCGGAGTGCGTGAGCCTCTGCGCGCGCGGCGGCGCGGCCACGAAGAGCGGGTCGAGCGCGGCGCGCGCCACCACGCGGGTGTACGTTAGATGCCAGTACGTACCGTATGTAGGCCTCGGAGTGCGTGAGCCTCTGCGCGCGCGGCGGCGCGGCCACGAAGAGCGGGTCGAGCGCGGCGCGCGCCACCACGGCGGGTGCGGGCGCCGGCGCCGCGCCGCTCTCGCCCGCGCCCGGCGACGGTGTGTTACGCGCCAGCGGGGACATGCCCGACAGGGACGCTGCGAGTATATGACATACATATTAAATTAAGTGACCGACCAAAGGTTCTTTTTCGATGTCGGGCAGTTTCGGCCAAAAAATCTAATTTCGGTTCGAATTTCGGTTTCGGCCAAAATTAGCCGAAACTTACGGCCGCACCGAAACTCAGTGCCTGTAAAGTGTTGTACGTCGTTCGGTTGACTTCCCGGCTAACTAGTGGACATCGGCTCTGGCTCAGTTAGCCGCCGTCCAGTGCGATAGTTTTTTATGGTGTTAGGGGGCAAGCGAGCAAACAGGTCGAAGTGACTACCGCTGACGAAGACACACACCTGCAACTAAAGAGTCATCATCACTCCACCCCGAATCAGGAGAAAGGGGAGGGTTTGGGCGCCGGTAACTTCTCTCACTTGGTGAAAAGCAACGAGAGAAACGGCTTAACACAGGTTTTCTGTGAGGCCGCTTGAATCACTCCGGTCGAGCCTGGTCCTATATGTGAGGAAGCATGGCTCTGGCACGACTAAATCACTTACTTTTTTACTCATTAATAATTTTGTAATTTTTTTGTTTTGACTTGTGCCTAACATTGTTTTATATCAAAGGCAATTATTAGGTATAGAGCCACGTTTTGCTACAACACATAAAAGAGATTATCGCACCTTTAATAATAAACTGAATTAATTCAAAATTTACGTTTTTCGAGTTTTCAACAAATACCAAATCAACTTCATCAGTAGAACACGAACAATCCAACAGCCGACTCGATACCATGAAAATGGCAGAGATAAGAGATCGTCGTTCTCTTTTTGACGAACTCGCACGTACATGAATGTCAAACTTTAAATGCGATTTCCCACAATATTGAAATTCTAAGTTAATTCAGTTTATGAATAAAGGTGCGTTATGTTGATGCAGATATTACTTAGTCAATACTTAAGAAACGCTTGAGCGCAGTTTTATAAAGCGAAAACTAACCTCATGCGTTCCTGGAGTTTTGAGTATCATTTTTTAATACCACCCTTAGATTTATTTGTTTGTAGATACTTAATTGTTAAATTACTTAAAAAACTAATACTACGTGTAATCTTCAGTTGCTTAACTTTAACTATGAGAAAACGCGTATAGTCCGTTCAAATCACCTGGTCAGCCACCTCACCCCGTCCTTTCCCGCCTATCGCGTGACGAACCTAGTTAATTTCGACAGATGAATTTCTAGTATTTAGTAGCTAGTTACGTATTTTTTATCTACCTAAATAATTTTTCTCTTATTTTAAATTGATGCAGTGTGTCTTCCTTATTACAGTGCTTTTAGTGGGTATGTAGTTATAAGCAGATAAAAGGCTATAAAATACACTATATTTTAGTATACAGTAGAAATTTTAAAGGCCGAAAGTTTGGTATCGGCTTCGGCTGAAAAGGGCGCCTAGAATATGTGATGTTTCTACTAAAAACCACCCCGACGGCCGTCCACAGGTTTCCTACTCTGGGCTCTGAGGTGGACCTAACATTTAACATGAGTCAGTTGCAAAGTTTCTTTGGTTTGAAAACTAAATTTTACTAAGATTTATTTAAAATGATACATACTACCAATGTATTGAAGTGTAATTTTTAGGTTATAATAATTACCTCTGTTAACCAAAATCAACCACATAAAGTAATACAAAAACTCAAATACATACCTCCGGGGGACATCACACCACTGCGTAAATTCGTGGATTGCTTCGGCGGCTTTTTAGACGAAGGCACATAGTTTCTGTTAGAAATAGTAAATATTTATTAATTAACATCACTACATTAGTAAGTTATGTCACCTTACTAAGGCACGTAGCACTATGCACATATTTGGGTAGTCATTGCTCTGTTGTCTGCGACACTGTAAAGTACCTAGTCAAAGTTTGCCTATGCAATACGCTAATTATATGATAATATAATAGTCAAGAAGTGATTTTATTTATAACACGTCCTTAAGCCATAGAAGATTATAACTCAAACTATATACGTCATAATCAATTCCATATTTTTTGTACAATTTCAATATTTTTTGTAAAATTTGGTTTGTAGATTTTTTATTTTATAAAAATAAATATTTTATTAATTAGTTGGTATAGTGAATAGACATGCCTGGATCTCTCGTGCACGGCCATGAGCCTGCCGTTGCCCTTGTTGACGTGCAGGTCGCGCACGTGTCGCAGCAGGCGCGGCAGGTTGGGGAAGGGCGCCTGCCCCTTGCGCACGCGCGCGCAGTTGCGCCACACGCACGGGTACTCAGAGAACGAGCCGCGGTAGTGCTGCTGCACGTGGCCCGCTGCCGACACGCATGTACGGACAGTGGAAGGTTAGACTGGTTTGTAATCTTTGCCTCTATGTCTTCTGACATTAAAATCACTATAGTCATATATAATAACCTGAGACTTCTTCCAAACGGGTATCTGATTTGAAATTAGGCAGTGTATATGTGCTATGGTAAGCAGACTGCTGATAAAGATACCCATATATTTCTAAATAAATGTATTTTTTAGATACAAGACACTCAAACAAATGATCATTCTCATCACACAAATTTCTTGGGTGACAATCGACCCCATGACCTCCAGCTTAATAGTCAGGGCACACTAACTACTAGACCAAAAGACCTGTCGAAATTTATGCAAACAAGTATTCTGCTATAATGAAACTGTTTATAAACCGTTTCATTACAACAATAGTGCAATGGAAGTAATACACGTACATAACACCTAAACGAGATCAATCTCGATAGGATCGAACAGATAGTAGCACATCACAATGAGATGATTTATCATCTCCGTTACTTACGTTCAAGCTTTGGTTTCTTGGTCTCAATAAATGTACCAATCACTGGCAGCGTAAAACAAATTAAACATATTAATATTTAATATATATACACATCACACATATTTAATATATATATATACACGTCCGTGTGGTGACGGATTAAGAATACAAATTGTCACCACCCCAATTCATCCCGTGGGTGTCGTAAGAGCCGACTAAGGGAGCAAACTAAGCAGGACAACAGCACTGCAAAGAGAAGGAAAACTTGGAACAAACCCTATATCAACCCGTCTGGCCAGCGTGGTATAGTAGGCCAAAACCTCCTTTCTAAGGAGAGGCCTATGTCCAGCAGTGGACTAGTATAGGCTGTTGATATGATGATGATATATACACAAATTAAAATGAACATGTCTACTACTACACTACAATACATTAGGTACTTACTACTAAAATTTTACTACAGTGTAGTTAGTTACGACGCATATCGCAAAAACAAAAATAAACGCCGATAACATAAATAGATTCTATGAAATGTATGTATTTAGTACCTTATATTTTTATGATGACTATAAACAAAAAATATTGCCTATAATCGACCTTAGTAACGAATGTACAATTTGTTTTATTTTTTCCGCTAGCAAATATTTAAAAAATATTTTAAAAGTTGTAAACTGTTTTGCTTTTATATTATATCATGTATGTGTGTCTTTGTAGATACTTACTGTTGCCCCCGTCGCCGATGCAGTGCTCCATGCAGTCTGACATTTCTTCAAACTGGTAGTCGCACGTGTCCCACGCACACTCGTACGTCATCTCCATTGGCGTCTGTGACGTGAATTAGGTACAACGTTATTTGTGAAGTTTTTTATATTAAATATCTATTTAACTTAATTAATCTAACTTCCAAAAATACATAACTTTTTAGTTAACATTTCATCCTGGTGAAGAAAATGTACTGGGTAATGGTTTAACGAGCGCAACTCGGAATTGGATTCGAACACAAACCGTGTTCGAACATGTTGTGCAGAAATTCACAAACTGGCTAAAATTGATGTATTAATGCTAAACTTTAAAAAATAATCTTTAGTTATAATTTTCTCTTCAATTTATTATAATGATTAGAAATCTGTCTTTAATCACAAATACGTAACATGTTGTTGGCTATATGAATGCAAAAAGATGGTAAGCTACCTACAGGCATTATTCGTTTCTTGATAATAGGGTTTAATTAATAATTATAATAATGTATTTATTGTTCACAAGTAATGTTTACAAACATAATTTCAATTAACAAAATTAGGCAAGAGCCACAATTTAACTAGATCAAATAAATGGTTTGCTTTATTCCAAAATTGTATTCTACTATGAATTTTGTGATCAAGTTGTTAGCATCATCTAAGCCTGCTATTTAATAATTAATCAATACAATATGGACCAGTACCCGTGATTCTATGTGGCACATAAAATATGTGTTGCCATATCCTAACCGAACATGACACACACTTTTTGTGCGTCACATCTGTAACACAGTGCTTTACAAATTTCAAAACTTCTACGAGAATAAGAACAACATTACAGATTTAACAGATAGATAAGTGACTAACGTGTTGTGCCAACTCCCGCATCTCCTCCGCCAATTTAGCCGCAGTCTCTTCATTGCACCTCGCGGCTCTTTCCTCCCAGCTCTGCTTAGTCGAGGCCGGGAGCGACCGCCATTCGTTGCCCACTATTCTCGATATCTCGCCTGGTAACACACACTATGTATACATACGTATTATACGTACCTTACGTGATATTGTTTTTCTTGTGTCTGGTCCAGAGTGCGTTAAAAGATAAGATCGACGTCACGATTACGTGGTGCTTTGGGTTAGCAACGTTTGTTGTTGTGTACACATATAAAAACGATTTAAAATTTATCTGATATAATTTATAATGCTTTTAAATTCAGCAGACAGTTATGAAGTGTGTAGTACTACTATTGCCGCTGTTGGTATTGTATTATTTCGCTATAATAATAGACAATAATAACAATTAAATTAAAGGGGGCTGCTATTAATAACTTAGGGTAAACCCCCTATCCCTTGACCTTACGCCAATTGACCTTATTCCTTAGTTCAGACTGAAAACGATTACATTCTCAAAGAGGGTTAGCGTCAGGCAGGCGGTCAGCCATAAAATGAATCAACCAAAATCTTTATAATGTAGTACATTGACTGATCCAAATGACATTTGGAAACCGACAAGAAAATGTTGATGGTGATTAAAAATATTCAAAAGTATTATAGGTAGCATCAGATAATAATTATTACTATTTCTCCGAGCAAAATGGGCAAAATACACAACAACACCCGTTACTCACAGTAGAATAAGACACAGGTGGAAAGTATGACACAGTAGGGACAAGAGCGTGCACATTATGAGAAAGCCAGCTACAACTTATAGAGGGTACACCTACCTAATCTCTGAGTTTTGTCCTTGCTAGCTAAATTTACACATAGGTGGCGTTAGGATCATTTACATAGGACACTTAAAGCTGTGATAACACAGAACACAAATGGAAAGATAGTGTTACGTTTTGTTCAATCCTATACTTATTGCTATATACTTGTTAAAAGTAAAACTCTTCTAAGTGATATGTCTTTTAAAACGAAGGCCCACAGCGACTTAAAGTTTCTCGCAATACTTAACACTATACTTATACACCTACACTATACTTTAATTAAATTTGCATACGACCCCTTAAAACAGGGATTCCCAAAATGAACAGATATCTCAGACCCCCATACAAAATACTTATCAATTTGAAAACATTGCCGTTGGTTAAGTAAGTAAATTTGAGATCATTCTATCATTAAAATTTAACAAAATAAATAGATATATTAGTCAGTCTACGAGAACTTTTTTAATAATAAGGGGTCGATTTTTATCATAAATCAGTTTTAGACCTAATAGACCCCTGGGAAACTGATTATCGATCCCAATATTGACCACTTTGGGAATCCCTGCTTTAAACCATCAAGCAAATTAAATATTACATTGGTATCTCACTATATTTTCTTATTAATTATATTATGTGTGGCTGTATATACATTTTTTATGAAGCTGTTATCCACAATTAATATCTCATTTCTTTACAGTTTATGTTATGATATAAATATAAAAATACAATAAATTAGAATTAACAGTCATACCATTTACCTGACATGTGTACTCAATATAAACTAATTGTTCTTATTAAACTTCTTATTTAAAAATGACTAGACTTTTTAAGTGCTAATTTTGGTGTACATTTGAATTTATTTTAATCACAATACTTTACATCTAAAGTTTAAATGTAAATTTTTTTAATTAAAAAAAGAGCTGATAATTATTTTATAACTTTAATGCATTTAGCAATTTGTTTATGTTAGAATTGAACAAAGTAAAACATATCTAAATAGAAAGATATAGTTAATAGCAAAATGGAAAAACAAGCAGACAACATGTAATATATATACATTACCTGAGGATATTGGTTTATATGAAATACCCTGTACATTTATCCTAACGCTCCGAAACCACAACAAAGTGAAACATAGAATCATACACACATATAGGGAAAACTGTAACAATCAAGTAGAAGGTACAGAGAAGTGGTATATGTTTCGATTTGACACTCCACGATTTCAGTTTGTTTTTGGAATCTGTTCTTTATAAGCTGCATAAACTCTATATTTGAAGAATTAAATTAGCTCAAGAATAATAACAGAAGTAGAAAAATGTATATATTGCATGTTTGCTAAATACTCTTTTTGTCCATGATACACGATTGGTAATTACATTAAGTTAAGCTAAAAACGCTAAATATAACATAAGAAAATGTATTAACTGTGCGAGTATAACAAGTTATCCCTTTCACAGTCGATAGACATTTGTCAAATAGAACAAGGTGATCACCACTGTTAATAAATGCCGAATGAATAAAGCAGCTAGTGTATTATTAAATTAAAGACATATTAATAAACTTACCAAAGGTAGACTCTGGGTTATTAGCCACAATAGCTCGTCTCACTTCGCTCGAGTACAGAATGTAGCCGGTAACAATCTTCTGTTTGGAGGAATCCTTCTTCTTCTTACTGCTAGTTGTTGGAGCTGTGGTGGTCCGCTCTTGGGTAGGAGTGGCTGTCATAGAAGGATTGTAAGGGTTGCTGTTGCCACCTAAATTCAAGATTTAAACGAATTTTATTTTATATTTGTTCTAATTAAATCTATTTATGTTATGTTATATTACATATTTCTAACACGAAAAACTATACTCATACAATAATGATCGTTTCAAATACTTATAACCTGATTGGTCAGGGGCGGGGCTTGATTAATGCGTCACTATTTTCTTAATGCGAATGGACTATAAACATTTTTATAACCGTATATTCATCACACACATATAACATTATATGTATTCATATTTCATCTTCGAACAAGTCTTTTGTGGTAATTATACCTACATTTAGGAAGTTTACATTTAGAGTATGGTTTTCGTAACTAAAAAATATGTACATGCATACCTATCGACAGTGGCGTGGCAGGTGAAGCGAGTGAGGAGTCGTCGAGGGAGTTCTCTAATATCATCTCAACGTCTTGACTTCCAATTGTAGTGTTGATCAAGTTTGTGAACTGCGGTTTGCTGTCCTATGATTACAAATGGGGAAAAATTATTTTCAACTATTGTAGTTTAGGCGTTCTTACACTTATGTTGTGTTAAGGTTTAGAAGTTGAACAAAATGTGTAGGTTGGGCTTTCTTTTTTATGATTTATCGTAGTCGACGATCACTTTTTTTGAGCGGAGATGAGCAACGAACGAACCCATTACCTTCTAAAGTACTTATTCTTTTTTTTCTTTATGAAAATACAACTCCCGCATTAGGAATTTATATCCTGTGTCGTAGGGGATTTCACAAACATACATGAAACGGACACAAAGAACACCCAGACTCAGAACACACACACACAAAGTCGTGTCCATTTGGGATCGAACCCACAACACTCCGCGCAGTGGGAAGCGGCGTGGCAACCGCTTAAACCACTACGCCCATTCTTGCAGGTGTAAAGATGCACCATGACATTCTTTTTCTAAATTTTATTAGGACAACCAGTATGTTATACACAAATACATTTTTAACACTATCTCAATTTGTATTTAAACGATTAAATGTTAAGTTAAATGTGTATGTAATACACATACATATATATACATTACACATGACATACATATTACATATATATACACTTACACACATATAACATATTTGTTCATGCATGCGAGATAGAAGGCATACACACACATTTTACTTACCATAGAGTCAATATTGACATTAGGATTGAAAGGCTTTTGCGTGAACGCACTAGACGTGGACTGTACGTCCTGTGCTGTGGCCAGAGCAGGCGGACCCAAGGGCTTCGGGAAGAAGTAGACCTGAAATATTGACAACAATATTATTATACGAACTCGTTCGGCAAATAAATGCAACTTCATCTAACGATAACAGTCTGAACTACGGGAGCACTGCTCCTACAGCGCAATATAGAATTCATTCTCAGTGTTACATACTCACATCTAATTCCTGTCTTACTGCAATTACGCATTAAAGATGAGACAACTAAAATTAATGAACTTACTGTCTACTATAAGGAAAGGATTATTATGTTTAAGAGTGATATTTAAAATATTTAACGAAACATCATACTTGACAACTTTATTGGTGTCTCAAAGTTTTTGAACTATCATTTTTAAAGAAAATCTATAGTTTAATTTTTATAGGATATGTATTGTGTTACTTTTAAGATCGTATCATTCGTCGAGTTTATTTTAGTCATTAGGATTTGTTTAATTTTCATGTTTTTAGTAAGTCCATTATTGTATTGGGTAAACATGTTAAGATAGAGGAAAAATGTAAACGTAAATAAATAAATGATTCACCGCGGCTAATAAACTTGGAATCGCATTGTATCGACTGCTTACTTTTGAATCCAAATATCATAGTGACAAGTAAAAAAGCAGCACTTATTACCTCATCAACGGTGACTTCCTTGGTGTGTTCAAACTTGCGCAGTCCTGCCTTGAGCTTACGTGCTACACGGTTAGACTCATCGTACACCGACTCGCATACGTATATGTCGTTCTCCGCTATCTCTGTCGGACGACCTAGGAGCGAAAGAAATAGGTGTAAGTTAGATATCTATTCATATATCTGTATCTATTTAGATAGCTATTTATATCTTTTCTCATATATTTTACTAGTCTTAAGTTGTTTAAGAGTTTTAAATAGATTTTATCAAGATATTTCTTAATAAAATCTTATTAAGAAATATCTTGATAAAATCTAAAATAGTAATTCTAATACACACATTTTTCATACATATCTTAGGAACATAGCATGACATTAATTTTAAGAATAGTTTAGAGAGTTTAATTAGGATATTGGTACTGTACACTCCATGATCACAACTATTCTACCAAGTTGGTTGTAAACAAAAATCTAGTAACATCTAAAAAAAAATTGTTCACTTTAGTATAAATTCTTTTCAAAGGGAATGCCCTTTGGAAAGAATTTTTGAAAGAAATCTTGTAAGGTAGGTGCACAGATGTTATATAATCTAATCAACGAAATTATACACAGTTCATTTCATACATAACCTAAATATACACATACAATACGTTTTTTTTTCTATGTATCCTATAACTCACTCAGACTCGGGCCAACAAATTGTGGGGATCAACCTACAACACTTAACGCAGTAGGAAGCGGCGTGGCGACCGCTTAAACTACTACGCCATACGTGCAGTCAATAGTTTTATATGTGTAATATATATTTTCTCTTTTTTTTTCCTGCAATTTGTATGAGTAATTTTGTGAAAAGGAACGGAAGTATGTTACAGGGAGTTGAGAAAGCGCGCACTATGTGACTTGAACAATGAAGCTCGAGCGAGTACTGTAAGGAAGGTATATTTTATTTGGTATACATTATAAATCACAATGTAGTATAAATATTGAATGAACGCTAAAATTATAGTTTCATTTCTTTTAGTTAAAGACCTTGTATATCTAAAGCTGCCTTATTTACCACTAGTGTTTGTTATACTTATACTTACATTTAAGATAATCATCGTAGTCCAACACGGCACACTTGCCCACGATGCCCACCAGTGGGCTGGTATCGTGCATTGTCGTCAACAATACTTCTTGTTTATAGAAAGGCTGGAAGTCAAACATACTCTAAGTTAGACATGAAATATCCTGTGCGGTTATAACATCATCAATGGCCCAAAGCACACTGCATTAATTAAACATCGGCTTTATTGTACAACTCTTTTAATTCTTGAATGTCTAATAATAAAATTTAAATAAAAATGGCGATGTGGTTTGAGCTTTAGATAGTTAATGGCAGTTTATTCGTTATACCTTATTAATTATGTTGGCGACTTCTGATGGGAAAATTAAGAAGGGTCCACGGAAATAGCATTTATTACTGTAAAAGAAAAATACACACATTAGAAACTCGTTAAGTTAAGTGAATCGCTCAGTACTTTTATGTTCAATAATCTCTAATACATATAGTGTATTACATGATGTTCAAGCTATTGTAGTAGACTTCTCAAAACTTAATTAAATAATTACTGTTTCCAACTTTCAACTCTAGATATCCTATGGTTGTTTTCTACATTGAAAAAAATCCAGATCATCAATCAAACGATAAGTTGTATTTATTTCTTGGGATGAAAAGACTTAAAGGTGTAAACGACTGCTTTATCCTTTCCTCTAAGATATACCTACGCCTTGATACTATTAACAAATATTTTTTTGTTAAAATCAATATAATGGTTGGGGCAGACAGCAAGACTTCAGCACAATCGCGCTCAGAGTCTCGATGCTTGTATACTACTTACACCGCTCTCACACTGGCCTGCCGTCTGCACCAACATTTATTTCTACATAAACATTTCACAACCACATTTTCTACAACTTTCTATTGTAAATAATATACACTGTAATCAGTGATTAAGGCAACTTACTCGCCAGTCTCCCATATAGTGTCGACCTGTGCTATCATCTGCTTACCACCGTCGGTCACCACATACACATAATCACCAGTTTTGATCACCCCCGAGCACACAGTGTTGTACTGTTCATAGTAAGTGTTCTCATCGTCTGTTCCCAATGGATTGTACATAACTACATCCTGTTTCAAAAAAAAAACAATATCGGACAGTTTTCATGACAGTTCTGATGTGTCATCATCTCGCTAGGCTAACGATAAGGTAGTTTAACTTAGTCGACATCGTAATCTGCCATAACAATCCAGGCAAATTAAAAGGAAATCTCTAAAAATTTGTCTGGGTGTAATTTAGGTGTGGATAGTATTTATTAAATATATAAGTATGTTTATCAGCAATCTGGTTACTATAGTACAAGCTCTGCCTAGTTTGGGATCAGACGGCCGTGTGTGAGATGTATGAGGTAATTATTTATATTACACAATTATTATAATAATTATAGTTAATTAGAAGAAAAGTTATATCTGACATTATTAATAGAGACCATCAATATTTCCTGGTAATTTTGACAAATATGTGTATGTAATATGTGTATGTACACACATAAACATAATATAAATCGATGGTCAGTAAAAAGAAGTGTCACTCTGTTTTGTCTTCAACTTGTCTACATTTCTTTTTCCTTTTACTTAGTCTTGTCTTCTCTAAAAAACAACTATTATCGATATTTTGCAGTCTGTTAAAAAGTCTGAAAAAAACGGAGGATATTCTCTATTGGGAACCATAAACAATTTGAAAAATACTTTTTTTATTTGGAAGTGTATACCTCATTCTCAATTTGAACAATAAATAATAATGGAAAATTGAGGAATGAAAATGGTGCGCATTTTTAACAGTTAATTATGTATGTTCAGATTGCCTTAAATTTTGATTTTTGTGGTTTTGAGAGAACTAGTAAAATAGTAAAAAGCCAGTTCAAGTTACGACTTTGTGACATGCTGATACTAGAATACTAGATGTGCTAACTACTAATACATGTCTAAGTAAAATCAGAACAGAAGTGACTTACTTTCCGGTTCTTCAAACTGTCGTATTTAATTAATTTGTTTGGGAGACTTACAGGTCTTACTTTTTCATGAACATTTTCCAACACTTCCAACTCAGCGAGTTCATCTTTGTGCTTTTCAATACGTTCACGGAATACTGAAACTGTTCTGTTTGGTTCCAAGGGGACCTGAAAGATATAATAATAGTTTAATATTTATAAATGGATAATTACCTAAAAATAGATTGATAGATGGATGGATGAATGTAGAGATGGACAATGGATTGATCGATGGATGGTTTAATCAATCAATGGATAAATCAATACTAATGTAAAAGCACTGAAATTTGAATTGGTTGAAAGCGTTAAAAAAATATTGTAAACGACACCCCATTGGTGTTGTCCAGTGTTGTCGTTGACAATACGCAGTGCGTACTAGTCCGATTTCAAACAATAATTTTAATTTTATAGCCTTATTTTTGAAATACTTTACAAGGTATCTATATATTGAGTTCATTTTGCTAAATATTTGTCAAAACAGATTCTTGCTATTGTGTGTTGATCTATGATTTTAGAGTCTACATCAAAGACGATTTCAAATTGAAACGAAGATTTTGACTTTGACCCTTAAGGGCCTTAGTGACTATGAACGCGGATAAAACTGCTGTAAATATCTTGTAAGTAGAAAATGCAACAAACAAATTCTACAATTTTTTTACCTTTCTTGGGACGAGCGTAGCCTCCTTCTCAGCTCCTTCCCACACTTTAATCTTCTTGAAACTGCGCAGTTTAGTTTTGTAGCGACTCTCACATACGTACACGTCTTTATCTGCAAAACCTAGAGGACGAAACGAACTAACTTGTATTTATATGGACCTATAGTGTCTAAACACATTATGTCGAAGGACCGAAGTTCTGAGTTTGATATTACGTTCCTATGCCTTTCACCACGAGCGCGGCAATTATATGACAAATTCGGTAGTGCAATTTTAGTGTCTGTCTGTCTAACTATAACGAGACGCAATTTTGGCAAATGTGTCGCAAATAATTCAAATAGCATTGCAGGCGTAATCACGCTGAACTTTGATCGCGTATTTTCGACATAATGTTTAGACACAGACTATTGATAACTAGAATTACTAAACTAAGTCTAATTTATCTTTTTTTAACAGACATAGAATAAAGGAAATAAGAAAAAATGTCTTATTTTTCTTCTAATTTCTCTGAATATTTTTTCTAAGTTAATTTTTTACGTTCATGTATCTCTCTGCATAATTGGTACTGGTGTAAGTTTAAAAAACTTAGAAAAATGCTACTCAGGAATACTCGAGCCTCGTTCATTCAACATTCAAGATCAAAACATAAATAGTACATGTCATAACGATTCAAGTGTCTAACAATAGATCACCATGTACACAATTTTTATAATGAAGTAATATTCTAGCCAATTTTACTATGATTTAAAATTTTAATTTTTATATTATGATTTTTAATTATTTAGGTTAAAATTGATGATGTAATGAATTATTAATATTATTTGATGTGTATGGAACCATTTTTTCATAAATTATTATTATTATAATAACCTTCAGGTCTAAACTTGAAGTATTCCTTGACGTTCATGACGTAACAGTGTCCTACAATCTGATCAAGGGGAACAACACGATGCGATTCAGTCTTGAAAACTTCTTGTTGCAAGAACTTGCGGGTGCGCACGTGGAAAGTATCTTGGGGCCTGACAAATAAAAAAAAAATGTTAGAGATAATAATTAATCAAAATTAAGTTAACAAACAACGTAGTGCGGCAAACGTAGTGTAGGACGTCCACAGGCCAGGTGGAGTGACGATTTGCACAAGATGGCTCGTAGGAGCTGGATGCGAGAAGCCCGAAAATCGATCTAAGTGGCGTGCAATGGGAGAGCCATTGCCACTTAGAACGATTTTATGCCTGCCTTAGATCGATTTTACTGCCTATGTCCAGTAATGGACTGCGATAGGCTGATGATGATGATGAAGTTGCACAGATCAATTGTTTTAATTATTTTCTGGTAACTCAAATACATTCTACCAATATATTCCTTTGATCATACTATTACGATAATCATCACTTGCTTCCCTTAGATGATAGCGCAAAATTGCGGACTTATCGTTGTTATTTAATATAATGAATAGCTCAATCCAAGTGACTGAGTTTGTGAACAAAATCGCACTAAGTGTACCATCTAGGTCTTTACGCAGTTCGCACCTATTGCACACTCCTTTTGTAAGCACAAACTACAGAGACAATTCCTACTTAGTAAGGGCCAGCCGCATTCATAATATGACATGTCGGAATGTAGATATCGACCTGTTCACCACCACTGTCACTAAAATGAAAAGGATCATGTGTAACCCGTTTTTCGATGTACGAGTATAGCATTAAGTAACTTTCTATTTTTACGATTATTATGATAGTTTATGTTGTATTATAATATATGTAGTAGTAAGTTGTTTAGATGTTAAGTTATTAAATGTGAAAACTTGTAATTGGCCATCACTAGCTATTATTAATATGTGCACTGTCCTCTTTAGCTGTAAGTTTTCCAAAAATTATAAAATAAAATAAAATAAATCATACATAAGAAAATATTGACTACCAAAAATAAATAGGATATTTAAAAAAAAAGTAATGTTTACAAGGAAAGTATATTGCAATCTATTTCATATCCAAAATAAACAAGCAAAAAGATAACGCCCAACGTGGGGCTCGAACCCACGACCCTGAGATTAAGAGTCTCATGCTCTACCGACTGAGCTAGCCGGGCTGTTGGATACATTTCCCAAATTCATAACAACATTCATTTATGGGATGATGTATTTACTATTTACATACTTAGAATATTTTTTTATGCTAGAGGTGTCAAGCAGAAGATTGAAAATAGTAAAGATTCACAAAACTTTACCTTAAAAAAAAAACAAAATTAGCGAATTGCCAGGGGAACTTACTTATCGGGTGAATATTACACAAAATATTTGAATTAATATTAACTCAAGGTCAGATATGAATTTATTAAAATAAAGTAAAATCTTTATATGAAACTGAGGGCCTAATGTGAGTTTATTTCACATCTATTCGATCCTCACGGTGACCGCGCTCAGCGTTTGCGATTGACCCGCACTGAACTCTTCACCAAGCGCAACACCCAACGCCAAGAGCGAGTTGATGTGAAATAAACGCACACTAGGCCCTCTGTATGCATGGTTACGAAAAACGGAGAAGTGCAGTGAGGAGTCTTGTAATAATATGGTCATGAACCAACCTGAAGTATACATTGCAGTACATCATCGGTACGCCATCATTGTTGGTCCAGACACGCTCCACCTAGAGATAATAAGAAGACTTTAATAATCCTCCTTCTGGGGCAAAATATTAAAGAAAGGCTTTTTCTAATTTCTATTTAGGATTAAATACAATTAATTCACTATTAATTTCTGTATTATCTATGCCTCAATTTTCCGTCCTTAGAAAAGGATTTTTTTTTTCAAATTTCTATAGGTGAATTTTAAGTTAGTTAGATAGATAGATAGATAGATAGATAGATAACTCTTTATTTGCACACTAAATTACAGAGTTTCAAGAAAGGAACACAACGATCAAATATCGAGTGTACAAAGGGCGGCCTTATTGCTAAATGCAATTTCTTCCAGGCAACCTTAGGATGGATCAAAAGTTGCAGAGAGACAGTAGTAGTTGAATTGTTGTGAACCTACTATTTGTTTACTATTATCCACTATACATATTACATATACTACACATATCATATTATCTACAAACATTTACAATTTTTTATACTTACATCTACAATGCATCACAATAAATAAACCTACATATATATATAAGTACCCACATACTATACCAGCAGATATACATATACACATACATACATATATACGCATTCTTAAATGAATAAACATATAGAAAAGAGAAACAGTTTCGTTACACCCTCAAGCGTGATGGACTCTTAAGGTGAATAAAATTCCTGTACCATTTTCTTGAATCTATTTAATGTTTGCGCCTGCCTGATGTTAAGCGGCAGTGCATTCCACAAGCGCACAGCTTCAACAGTGAAGGATTGGTCATAAAATTTGGTGGAATGCAGTGGCATCTCCAGTTGTAAACTTACGGATGACCGCAGACATTTTTCGTGTGTGTCATTAAGGAACTTGAATCGTTCTTTGAGGTAGAAAGGGGTTTTGGGATTAAACAAAATGTTGTAAAGGAAAATAAGGATATGAGTATTCCGGCGAGAGCGAATTGGAAGCCACTTGAGCATTTGACGGAATTCAGAGACGTGATCGTATTTTCGTAAACCAAATACGAATCGTATACACATATTTTGTAGTCGCTCAAGCTTATCGAGTTGTGCTTCAGTGAGATTCAGATAGCTGACATCGGCATAGTCGAGAATTGGGAGGAGAAGTGCTTGTGCAAGCGCAACCCTAGTTGCAGTTGGAAGGAATTTGCGTAGTCTTCGAAGAGAACCGGCTGAAGCAAATATCCTACGACTGACCTCTTGCATCTGTGGACCCCATGACAAAGTGTTGTCTATGTAGATTCCTAAATTTTTTACAGTAGTGCTTATCTCAAGAGTTGTGCCACCGAACTGAATTTGGGGCAGTAGAGTCCAGTTAACTTTTGAGATCAGCCTGGGGCTGCCGATAACACACACCTGTGTCTTCTTAGGATTAATCTTAAGTCCATAGTTATAACTCCACTCGCCAATGCGTTGAAGGTCAGCGTTAATTATGTTGAATGCATCCGATAACATGTTAATCGGAGCTTGTGTATATATTTGCAAATCATCTGCGTAAAGGTGGTAGAAGGAACTTAGTTGATTAGAGATTGAGTTTATAAAAACAGCGAAGAGTAAAGGAGATAGAACGCCACCCTGCGGTACACCAGCAGAAATACTGCACCAAGAGGACATGGAGTCATCAATGCAAATCCGTTGCCGGCGACCAGACAGGTAACTTTGAAACCAATCAATTGTCCTTGGAGATATGTTAAGAGACCGTAGTATGCCAAGCAGAATGTGAAAATCCACAGTATTGAAGGCATTGCTAAAATCAAGTAAGGTGAGAACTGTGATCTTTCCACTATCCATGCCTAGTCTGATGCTGTCTGTAATGTGTACCAGCGCAGAAGTAGTGCTATGGCCAGGGCGAGTTAGTTAGTTAGTTTAGTTAGTTTAGTTGTACTAAGTGTACTAAGTGTACTAAGTGTACTAAGTTGTACTAAGTGTGTTAGTTTAGTTGTACTAATGCAATTAAAAAAGTAATTATTGACATCACGTAAAAACATTCTGTCGGGTTGAGAGCCTCCTCCTGTCTGCCGTATATCCCCGGGATATCATGAACCGCAAAATTAAACATATGATGTTTAAATAGTAACATGGTAGCACAAACCTGTACTATGGGGCACTCCTTATTGCCCTTGTCTGGTTGTATGTACACAAAGTCGCCTTTATTGTAACCGGTCTGCTGTAGTGGAGCCCCGCCCGAAGGCATAGAGTCGTCTGTACTTGATCTTAAAACAAAAATAATAATTCTGTAACTATCGCAATTTATTTAAAATCAGAACTAAACACTAGGTGCCTCTTAACTTAGTATTATTAATGTGAAAATGAATTTGTTGGACATCTTTTCACACCTAATTTCATCATTCACCTTCACCACTAATATTCATGTTACTTACAAACCTTTAACTAAACCATCTACTGTATTATTATCTCCCCTCATTTTTAAAACCATGTCTATATAAATAACAATTAACATAATAATATACCTCACACATCTCACACACGGCCGTCTAATAGATAAATTACACCCAGACACAGAACAAATGACCGTGCTCATCACACAATATTTGTCCTGGGTGGGTATCGAACCCACGACCTCCGGCTTAGCAGTCAGGGTCACTAACCGCTAGACCAATAGGCCCGTCGATACTGTAATGTAACCGCTCAAGATAAAGTGCACTTGTCTTAACCATTAAAATCCTGGTTTATGGATCCGAAGGTCAATTCTATGAGAATTAGAAATGTCATAAAAGTTATTCTCGTAGTTAGGTATTACTAAAACTAACAGAATACAGATTCAACTTTCAGTCACAATAGGATAAAATCACATTACAGTCAACGTTGGATTTTTAATGCTTTACTACGGGAATACCTTTAAGAGATTTGTGAGTTGATCGAAACTGAATTTTGAACGAATTTTTATTAAAAGAGTCGACTTTAGGTCCGAGAATAGAGAAAATCATACAATACCTTGTTTCATCTTCATCCTCGTGCTCCTGGAGTAACTTGCACTGCTTGACGAGCTCCACACTAGTGGCCATTGTTTCTCTTGTAAAGGCCAAAGCTGGTGACTGTAAAGTACCACGACATAAATAGTCCCTTTGGTCGATGTAATAAGACTGTAGTTCCACAGAATCTTCGAAAATTTGGCTGTCGGTTCTCGATAAATGCCGTGCTCTGAAAAAAAAAAAGAAAAGAACGTAAAACATGTATATAGTTACTAGCTGATCCGGGCAACTTCGTTTACATCTCTTAAAAGGAATAAATTTTCCCCGTTTTAGCAACATTTTATTAATGATCGCTTCCTATTGGTCATAGTGTAAATTTTTTTTAAAGACAACGCCCGCATTAGGAATATATCCTGTGTCGCGGGGACTTTACAAACATACATGAAACGGACACAAAGAACACCCAGACTCAGAACAACAATTTGTGGATCACACAAAGTGTCGTCACCGTCACCATGTAGGGTTTGAACCCACAACACTCGGCGTAGTATTAAGCGGCGTGGCGACCACTTAAACCACTACGCCATCCGTGCAGTCCAATGTTATATAGCCTTCCTCGATAAATGGGCTATCCACACTAAAGGCATTTTTAAGATATAGCGTATAATTTATCTACAATATGTGTGTGTTTAGAGATATAGAATGTTTATGATTTTTTTATGTTTTACTTCACTTTCATTTCTATTCCATCTTTTTCTTTATCTTGCTTTCCCTTCATTGTCTTTTTACTAGACTTGCAACGAATAGTATATTCGGCAGTATACCGAATACCGAATATTCGGCGAGGCCCCTGACCGAATAGCCGAATATTAGGCAAAAGTATTCGGCTGGATTTTAGCGCCAAAAACTTGTACAGACGTGAATTAAATTATGTACCTGTTTTATGTACCAATGACTACTTAATAAATGATTATAAAAGAAATGAGAACCTTACCCTTCTAAATTTTGATTACCACAATAATTCAAATACATAGAATCCTCCATTTTTCAATTCAGAAGATGATTATGTACCTGTGTTATGCACCAATTACTACTTAAATGATTATAACAGAAATGAAAATATGAATATATACGTAATCAATCGATTTTAATTTTTCATTTTACCAATTATTTCTCAATGACAAAATATATTATTTAAGTATTCGGTATTCGGCCGAACAATATGTAGATATTCGGTATTCGGCCGAATATAATAAAAGCAGCCGAATAGGCCGAATACCGAATAGTAACCGAATATTCGTTGCAAGTCTACTTTTTACCCTTCCTTCGTCCTTAATAACAGATGTACTGGCACACATCAAAACAATGTTGTGGTATATTTAATGGTACCATTGTATCTATCTGTTAATTAAAACGAGTGGCCGTGAGTTTTTTTGCCCTTTCTTATTATAAGGCTCAACTCAGGCATATAATAGGTTTACGATAGGTATAATTTTATTTATTTTGTTAAATATTTGACAAAACAGAGATTGTTGCTAGTGGTGTGTTGATCTATGACTTAAGAGTCTACATAAAAGACGATTTCAAACCATTTAAATATTTTTTTATGAAATAAAGATATTTTGCTTTTATCAATAGACTAGCACCCTCTAACTCAGAACAACAATTTGTGGATCACACAAAGTATTGTCCCATGTGTGGATCGTCCATCAACACTCAGCACAGTAGGAAGCGTGGAGGTAACCACTACGCCATCCGTACGGCTGTGCATGCATATATTGAAAATATAATTACAATCCTCACCTTTCAAATACCAGGAACATGTCTTGTTGGAAATGGTCAAGTCTCTTGTATAAGCCCTTGTCCAGACGTCGCTTCACTAAGTCCAGAGATATGCCTCGCACCTTCTCACCGTTAGCCGTCTCGTCGTGTTCCGGCAGTTCCGCCATACTGTCCGAGTAACATCTAAAAAAAGTTTACAACTATTAATATGTTAAGTAATATTGAAGATTTCAAGACTATTTTAATTAAATATATTGACATTTCCCTCTATTACAAACATAATCATTAAAAGGAATCATTTTGACTAGAAAGGAATATATTATAATATATACTTCTTTTACTAGTTACAAGTTTAATTAAAATTAATGTTGTCTGCCCACTATAATCATTGTTTAAATACAAGCTTTATTTAACTTGCAATGCATGTAACAATACATTAAGATGGTACCAATGAGCTGTGTTGACAATTATTGCTTTTAAAAAAAAATTACATCATTTATTTTACTAAGTACGCTTACTTTTAAAGTAATTGATATCAAGCTTAACTTTGGACATACAATGATCAACGATCAAACAGTAACTAACTTAAAAAAAATACATTAAAATATCTACTAGACTACCTTAAAATTTTAATCTCAAGTTATAAGATCACAATAAGACAAAGCTAACTGTGATCTTGTTCCATAAATTTAATATACATAGCATTTCCTAAGCCACGAAGGTATGCCACGAATAAAATGATTTAGCGTCATTAAACCTACCTCCCCTCCTCATCTTGATGATTATAGACGCTTGTAAAGAGAGTGAGAAGCAGTTCTTGCACTGCCGCTGGTACGTCTGGTATGGCATCGTCGTCTTCCCTGTTCATACAATTGTGCATATGAATAAAAATATAATTAAAAATAATGAAAACATTAAACATTATTCTACTTAACAACAATGCAATCATAAGTATAATTAGAGGAACATTCATAAAGCATAAACAAAATTAAAATAAATTTTCATGTATTGATATTTCAATAAAATAATTATAAATTATTTTTATTTTCTTAACACTAACATATTTAACGAATATATTTAAAAACAATAGATTTTACAACTAAAGAAACCCTAGTTTGTTTATTGAACATGATTAAATATATTAGTATTGTGTTCAGTGAAGGTAACTAAATAGGCAAAAACATGGCAACTAAACCCCTTGTTGTGGGAGGTCTCCGACTAAATAAAAGCTTCTTAATTTACTATATTCAATAAATTAGCTTAACACAAAACTGGTATCACGACTGCAAAAGTACTGTCTCAATGACCAAAGGTGGCTGAGTATTTTAAGTGCACAATTAAGAAGTATTAAAAAGTAGACAGATAGTTCTGTTTCAGAACGTGTATGTACAATATCAGCGTTATAGATACTTTCTTTTCTATCACAAACGCACCTTAAATTGATGTTCCTTGATGGTCTGCCGTCCAAGGAGCAGGTGCGTGAATATAAAATATAATTCAAAGTTACTATTAAATAAAAAAAAAGCAAACACTAAAGGAACTGAATAATGAAATGTTTAAATCGAAACTTAATCGCAATGATTTATAACTACACCCGTAACCATGACCGGTGCAATGTGGTCGAAACGCCGGGTCGAACACATTTTAAAAACAAAGATAAACACGACGTATTATAGTTTTTTGAAAACCGAACAGAAACACCATTTGAATCACACAGTTGTCTGCATAACAAGGAATCTCTAGTACTATGATTATATTATATCCAGACTGAATGGTTGCTAAGCATTGTGCTCTTTGGAGTCTTGTCACTTCTCTGGTTTCTTCAGTTTTGTACTTTTCAAGTCTTAAGAGAACCGTCACAGATAGATGTCTCAACTGCCCTTAAAACAAACATAAGTACCAAACCCAATGTGTATTTGGATTGAACAATGCAACCAAGTGTTTCAATCTGGGAAAATAATGATTCCAGTCAATCGAGCTTGTTTTCACTCGAACATTGCATTATAATTATTGTATATAGAAAAAATATTATTATGTATGTGTAAAAGTTGTCATTTATTAGTATGGTCTCAATTAAGTCCAGATTTACTCATCTTACTCCCAAGTCATTCAAAACATAACTTAAAAAAAACTTTTGGTCATTTAAATTTGAAAACATAGTGAAAAAGTAAAACTTTAAACTGCTCTCAAAACATTTACAACACGTTAACTTAAACAAAAATTTTCCTTGCAACTTATTTTCATCCTCACCTCAACATCTGTTTAGTCTGCAAGCATACACGGTGTAGAATCAACGCATCTTTGTATATCTGAGAATCAGGTTCATTATACTTGCAGGCGTTGTCGAACATCAATATGAAGTCTGAAGCGAGCTCGTTGACGGAACTATAAACATTATTCTTTAATTTGTGGGCTATTTTCTCCATATCAATAGGATTTTTGATTAACTCGTAGTAATCTGGATACTCTGTCTTGCTTGGTAGTTTCATGAAGATTAATGCGAGTTGGCGGTTAGCTATTGAAAAAAAAAATATATATTAATTTATGTGTGTATAGCATATTTAAGTTTATGTATATAGTGTATGTTTTAGTTCATTACTTATGTAGCCTCTGTGCGCCTACCTCACACGATTGCTACACCACCCAAAAGTTGACTGCTAGAGAATGTCCTGTGCATTAAGTCCACGGATGTAAATAAAGAATGAAATGAAAATAAAGATAAATAATTTATTATTTACCAACAATAATTTTCCCTTTATTATCTGTAATTAGTGTTATTGAGATAATCGTAGCAGCAGAAAAGGTTGGTTAAGATGAAAAATCGGTGTCGCATCGTCATAGTAATGTTTTTGTCAAACAGTTGACAGGAATGTTCACATGCTTAAGACGATGATGCTGATAAAATAAATAACTAACAAAGACTCTACACTATTGCATTTAGGCGCAGTAGTTAGTAGGTCAGACATCATATTCCAAGATCATTAACACATCTTTAAATTAGAGTCAAGGTATTTATCACATCTATAAATCTCTAATATATACTATTTCTTTAAGAGGGGCTGCTGGCGCTAGTACAAAAAAGTTTTACAAACCTTTAGGGTCCCTATAGTCTCTTATAGCATCGTACAACGTCCTCAACTTCTGTTCAAACGGCGACAACTGCCTTGACTTTGCAGACTTGAATGTCTTCAGCGGAGTTTTCCTCTCAAAGCTAATGTTGACTTCTTTGAGTTTCTCATTCATGACTCTTTCTAGAAGGCTCGCATCCTCGTAAATCATAGATCCTTCTTCGTTGAACTGCCTGCAGTTGGAGAACATCAAACGGAAGTCTGCTACCATCTCTTCTATAGAGTTGTATCGGTCAGCCTGAGGGAGTAAAAAGCGATTATTTCATTTTTTAATAAGTTCGCACAGTTTTATACGCAACGGAGTCGTTTTTGCCTATACTGAGCTGTGTTTTGTTTTGCTATATTTCCGATATGCTGATTGTTACATAGCTGTCCTATATTTATTCTGCCTAGTTTGAGAATCTATGTCGAATGAGTATAACCATGAAATGGTCGATCACACCATGATATGATAAATTTTGTTTGTTTTTCTTTTAAACTACGACTACTCTCGCATTAGGAATATATCCTGTGTCGCGGGGGACTTTACAAACATACATGAAACGGACACAAAGAACATCCAGGCTCAAAACCACAATTTGTGGATTACACAAAGTGTTGTCTCATGTGATAGAAACCATAACACTCAACGCAGTAGGGAGCAGCGTAGTGACCGCTTAAACCACTCAACATTGGCCACGATTTCTACATGTTTTTTATGGAGAAGACAGCTCGCGTGACGGTAAATAACTACTGCCGCTCATGGACAGCTGCAAGTCAGAGTCACAAGTACATTGGCGTCCTTTGAACCAGGTAAAGGAGAACCAGGTTTGGGCTCTGGTAACACTGGTTTTATGTGACGCCATGGTAACACAGGGGTCGAATCGGTCGATTTGTGTCAAAGCATGGCCTACGTTCTACATTTACAATAGTACGGCCGGTACGGTATTATAGTACGGCCGCTGAGTTATTACCGAATTGACAGATTATTCTTAAATTAATCGATATAACCTTGCACGAGCGACACATTTGCCGAATGATTTAGAATACCTCTTTAATATAAAACTTTATGTCAAAATGTCAGAATCAAGTAATTTTCCAATAAACTCTGTTTCAAAACTTAAAATAGTTTGTAAATAATATGAAAACATTTATTTTTGTTCTTTGGCGCGCTTGTACAAAGTTACATCGTGCGTCTAGTTTTCATAGTGATGTGCTTGACAGTATTCGGTCCGAATTCATTGGAATAGATATGATATTTATTTTATTTGTATATTTTTATTTTACTTATTCCTTCGAGCAACTAGACTAAATATAATGCTACCATTTTTTTGCGTCTCCTAATTGCACTGTGTTGCCAGTATCTTATGATTTTTAAGATTTATGTGTGATCCAAAGACAGAAATACTGTTTTCTATGATTTAAAAATAAATACAATTAAAATGATTATGTATAATTTTTAACATTTATAATATATGAAACAACATTTAATAAATATAATTTTCTCCCTCAATTAAGCAATGTTATAGGTGTATTTTTTTAAGTAATTGGCGATACTATTCTGGCAACACCCTTACCACCGCTATTTTAATCTGTTTAGTCGTCTTCCGTACTCTCGTGCGCACAGACTACGTTCTCTTGTGTAACCGTTGTTTTTTGACTCGGCTTTCTCCTGTTTATCGTTGCGCTTTATTGGACTAATTTTGTTTGTGTTTGGTAATTTTGTTGAAAATGCCGAAACGAGGAAAAACATTGAATAGTCAATGTCGTGAGCTTGTACTAAAGCTACAGGATTACTTTGAGCGTGAGTCACAAAATGGCGGCCCTTTGATTCCTGTCACTCAAGTGAAAGATCGTGTTTCACAAGCTCTTGGAATTGGTGCAAAAACACTATATAATATAAATAAAGAAAAAATTGGTGCTTCTGGAAGTGAAGATAATGTTTTACGCACTCCTAAGAAAAAACGAAGACAAAAGCCCGTGACATGTGTTGATGTTTTTGATGCAGATGCAATAAGAAACCATATATATGGTTATTATACTAGGAACGAGTTTCCAACTAGACGTTTGCTTTTGGTCTCTTTAAAAGAAGCTGGCTTGTTTAAAGGCGGTAAAACGGCGTTGTCAAAACTATTGCACGAAATTGGGTTTGAATATAAAAAAACTAATAAAAGGAAAAAAACTAAAAAAATATTAATGGAAAGATTTGATTTAATAATTAAAAGTAGTGACTTTTTAAGAGAAGCCAGAAAAATCGAGTCTTGGGACAACGTCGTTTTTGTTGACGAAACATGGTTAAATGCGAACCACACTGTGTCACGCTCTTGGACTGACGAAACAAAAGCATCAACCTCAAAGGTTCCAATTGGAAAAGGATCGCGACTGATAATTTGTCACGCCGGTTCTGCTGGAAGTGGTTTCTTTGAAAATGGACTGCTGGCTCTCGCGTCAATAAGTACTTCCGATTACCACGAGGAGATGGATACAGACACTTTTACGAATTGGTTCGAAAATCAATTATTACCCAGCCCGGCAGAGCCTTCTATCATAATAATGGACAACGCTTCATATCTTTTTTTTTTATTTAAAATACATTCAGTAGTTTCGTTAATCATTAAGCAAGACTAGTGTAAAACTAAGGTAATATTTTATTTATACAGATCTTTATACACATATATGTAATAAAATTTATTTCGAATACTTTAATCACTGCCTGCCTGAACTAGAATAAACCTGTGTTTCAGGCGATCGCTTGACTTAGAGTATTAAACAAACTTTATTTAGATATTAATGTCCAGAATAATAAATACGTAATAATATGTATATAATACGTAACAATAACATAATAATAATGAAAATAAAAATACTACATAGTGTACACGTGCAAAAGCAATTCACAAACATATGTAATAATAATTTCTAACATATTTTATGTTTCCGCATAATTTAAGTTTCTTATAGTTCTAAGCTATATATATTTAGTATCTTATTAATTTTATAATATAAGAAAGATCCTAAGAATAAAAAAAAAGGTCTTAACAAACAGTACAATTATTTTGATTATTAGGCATAAGGAGTTATTGGTGCCAGTAAATTGTCAGTAGTCGGCACATATTCTCTTCGACATCACAATATTTAACTTCAGACAGAAAAATGATCTAGGCCACAGAGCTACTGATTAGTCATTACATATTAAATATAGATAGGTTTAAGTGTTTACGCTAAAATAATCAATTACGCTTTTAGACGCCCTCATAGTCTATAGAATTTAAATATTTATCCTCAGCATATTTCCGAGCTGGGCAAGTTGCATCACCAGTTTGGTGATCACTTTTCCGTTTGAACCTTCTGCACGTCGCACAAGTAGGTGGTGTAGATTTGTCGTTGCAATCCTTAAAGGAGTGCCCGGACTCTCCACAGTGATTACAGGTTGGGCTAGTTTCACGGCAATATTTAGCTGCATGTCCAAACTGCTGGCAGTTAAAGCACCTGGTCACCAGCGTGAAGTCTCTAACGGGACAGGAGGTCCAATTTATGTAAATTCTGCCTTGATTTATGAGCGCTTTTCTAATATGAGCCGGTACCTCAAGAATATAATTACAGATAGGAAGGCTTTTTTTACCTGATTTGTGGCTAAGTTTGATGGTATTCAGACAGGACTCACGAGAATCGTCAGGAAACTTGTCTGCTAAATTCTGCTCATAGATGCACTCAAGCACCTCCTTTTCAGTCAGGGCGACGGGAACACCTACGACAGTAATTCTTGGTTTGCGTTTTGCGGGTTCTTCGACTTTAAGGCCTGATGACGCTAAGTTCTTTGACTGCCTCAATTTCTCAATGTCTAATTTAGATTCGGCACTAATAATAACACCCCCATTACTCACTTTTCTAAGGTTTCGTAACATGAAGTTTTAGTTCCTCGGGTGAAATTATTTTTTGGACTAGAGACTTAGTATCTTCACTAGTCTTGGTCTTGTCACTAGGATAGATGGCAAGGGTACTAATATTGCTCGGACGAACAAACTTATTTGGACCTTTTTTTACCATATCGGCAAAAGAGCTATGTTCCTGTGGTCTCAACTTTTCTTCAACAACTGTTTTGAATCGATTTAGGGAGCTCGCAACATCTTTGGTTTCCTGTAGGTGCTGTATGGTGGTATGCGCAAGGATAGTCTTCTGCTTTAATGATTGATATAATACGGCCATTTGAGATGTGCCAGATCCGATCTTACGGCAAATATTTGACACGCATCTTCTGATCCGTGTTCATTTTGCCCTCCGACACTATAGAGCAAACCTCATTCAACAGGGCATCAATGCTTGACATCCATTTCTGGATCTCCGGCGTCTGTATTACCTCGCTAGGTAAATCATTGTTCTTGGGCAAGGGCGGTTCTTCATCAATGGGCTGATGTTGCCGTGTTGGCGTCGGTGGAGGACTCCTCCGTATTAACTGGCTACGGCCAAACGGGCTTGATCCTGGGTTAGACATAGTCACTAACACATATAAACTTTTTATAACTATGTTTAAAAGTCAAAGATTAGATCGTGCTAAACCCACAGTTTGCAAACAATAGGCATGAATCACTCTCGCTCGTGACACACTTAGCGGAAACTACTTACACTACAAAATAATTCTTTATTAGAAATTATATATGATTTCTATTTAATGCATTTTGTCGGATTCCAAAAAAACACGTCTGCTTAGTCAAGCGGTCAACAACTTATCACTCGAAACAAGTGAATAAAGCGCCTACTCAGGCCGACAAGAAAGCTGATCTCGTAGCATGGCTACACCAAAATGGAATTGAAACTACAGCCGAAATGCTAAAGTCTGACTTAGTAAAGTTCGCGAAAATAAAACATCAAGAGTCCGTTATGAAGTAGATGAGATAGCTCTGGCACATGGACATCGGGTACTTCGAATTCCGCCTTATCACTGCCAGTACAATGCCATTGAGCTAATATGGGCACAAATCAGTTGTTTTCAAATTGTTTTTTATCGCATTAGTTATGAATATGAATAATTTGTACTATTATAACATCCAATATTCAGCATATAAGTAAAAAGATACATAACTAAGAAATAAATATCTCATGTCCCTTACATGCAGGTAATTGTGTAACATTTCGTTTATTTAATGTAATAAATTAACGTTATTTAATGTTTACATTACAGGTTACGCAGTTCGTAATAATACGACTCCGCCATTCAGTACTAATAAAATGATGGGTCTATTAAAAGATGCTTGCAGCAAAATAACGAAAGAAGATTGGGTCAAGGTCGTCGAAAACTAATAACAGAAGATTATGAACGCGATATAAGAGTGGACACCATTATAGACAATGAAATTGTCATACAAGTGACTGATAGCGATGACAGCTCTCGCGAATCTGGTTCAGAGTCTGAATAATTGTTTTAATAAATGATAGGTAGTCATTTATTAAAACATCTTGTACCTACTCTATTCATTAAAATGTGTAACAGTGTTTACAAATTTGTTTTATTTTGATATGTTTTCGACCAATTATCTACGCCCATCAAGGATACTCCACCTAATAAAGAACCTGTGTCTTTAACTATTATTTGTTTTGATTTTATTTAATTACACACTATACTAGAATATTTAAAAACAAACTGTTCCCAAATGATATTAGGGTTACTGGTTCAGTCACTTCACTAGTATTGTCAATTCGTCATGTGTCAAATCGGTAATAACTCAGCGGCCGTACTATAAATACTAGTACAATCTCAATGTACTTACCTTGATGTTAGCCTCAATAGTAATCATATCAATGGGCTTATCGATCACATTATAGTACTCCGGGTACAATTTCTTGCTCGGCTTCTCCATGAAGAGTAGCATCGGTTGTCGGCCATCAGAGCAAGTGAACTCCACCAACTGTTTGGATATGTAGTGTAGCTTCTTCTTTAAAGGGAGATTGGACTTGGATACTGAAGGAGTGCTGATTGGTGATGGTGCTGAGCTCGGCAGCGGGTTCGTTCGTGGACGCCCTGAACGTTATATTTAATTGTAAATGTAAATAATAATAACTTCACACATCTCACACAGAAGTCTGGTCCCAAACTAGGCAGAGCCTGTACCATGGCAACCAACTTGCTGAACTAACATACTTATAAAAGAAAAAATGAAAGAAATAAAATTAATGTAGATCGTGTCTATGGATGATAAGGAGTCGGTGGTTAAAATACATTATTTTATCATCACTCAAGGTATTAAGCGTTAAATACGATTCAGTTTCACTGTCTGAGCCCGTGACTTTGAAACTTATTAGAATACAATTAGAATCGAGATTTTCTGACCTAAATCCTAGTTAAAATAAAAATAGAATAAAAAATTAAATCGTCACTATTTTTATCTTTTTTCTTGTTTTTATGGTTCAGTAACTCTTCCTGCCTAGGTTACACCGGGTTCCCAGGGTACTGATAGCAGAGACTTTGTCTGGTTTTTAGGTAGTTCGAGTCCGGTATAGCCATCCGACCGGTTGTGCGGTGGGGGCGATCCCAGGTAAAAAAAGGGGTCAGTTACTCAAAAGGCAACGTTTCAGGTCCCTTTTTCTCAGAAATGCGTGGATGTTCCAAGTTGAAATTGATATCAAATACTTATGTCTGTGGTCCCTTGAAGCTCAACTCAAACCTACTGCCAGTTAAGACTTACATTAACCCCATTTGGTTGTTAAATAAAAACTTGTTGGATACTTCCCATTATTCTAGAATCAAAAGGAGAATGAAATTTGTAGACAGCACAGTACTTAGAAACAATGATAGATGTTACTGCTCAAAACGTTAATTGAGTCTAATCAGTGACAAACTTTTATTTTCTTTAATTTACTTTATTACACAACAAGCTGCGCCCCGCCGTGTTAAACGCGGTTTATCAATTCCTTGCTCATTCCATGAGAACATTACATTTCATTAAAAGTAATCTATGTGTTAATCCAGGGTGTCAGCTAAATCCATCAAAACTGGTTCAGCCGTTTGAGCGTGAGATGTAAGAAACATACAAACATATACACTAAAAAACTTTAGCCTTTATAAATTAGTGATATTTTTAAATTATAAACATTTACTAGACGTCACAATGATATACAAAAGAAGAAATCATAATTACTACTACCTCGAGGCCTGGGTGTTTGCACCTGAGCTTGGCTCTTGACCGACGAAAGGCTTTCATCGTCACTTGAAGAACTTTGAACTATGTCTAACAGTTCCTGCACGCGTTGCTGCATCAATCTAGAACAAGGAATATTCATATTTTAGGCTCTGAGATCAGCAGAACACCCCAAAAGTGGTTTAAAGTATGAGAGCTACCACCTTGTCTTTGGGAGAGCCTAGCTTCAGCAAGTACGGTCTGGTTGAAGTGATACCAGTGTTTCATTGCTTTTAAACTCTGAGGAACATTCAAAGGGCGACAACATCTATTGAGTTGCATAAGCGACGTCTGTAAGCCAATTCTTGTAATAAAAGTTCAGTCTCAATTTAGTTCCAATCAACTTAATCATTGTACACGAACTAAAAAAAAGAGACCACTGTGGTTTGTTTCGACGTTTCTTCCCAGCGTGAGTCTTAGGAAATGCCGGCGCCTTCTAGTGTAAACTCCGACTTGTAAAAATATATGAAAAGATTTACTTGCAGAAATAAATATAATTTTATCATCATCATTCTATAATTTTTATCATTTACTCAATCTCACAACCGTCGTAAAAGGTATTTTCGTAGTTAAGTATTAAACATCCAACATTGACTGTAATGTGATTATATCGTATCGTAACCGACAATTGAATCGGTAATTTGCTAGTCTTAGTAATTTTTTTATTTATTTAGGACAACTTACAAAACTTTACTACGAATACTTTTATGACAGTTGATCGCAACTGAATTGTGAACGAACTTTTCTTACGAGAATTGGCCTCCTGTTCGTTTGCCTCCTATGAGTTACAATAAGAAAAACCTAACTACTAACCTTTGCAACTTCACAGCATCTTTATACAACCTCGAAGTAGGTACATTATATTGCTTCGCATTTTCAAACATGATGTTCATATCTCCAGCTACTTCTGACAGAGTCCCATAGTTGCCACGTCTGATTTTGTTCTTAATTTGATTTAACGATACAGGGTTTTTAATCTCCTTGTAATAGTCTGGGTATTCGCGGCGAGATGGAAGCTTAGCAAAAGGATCTGCCATTGGAGTACCTGCAAAATAATAATAACAATGTCATAACAACCACCCACACGAATGAAACCTTCTTTTCATAAAATGATGTGTCTATTTATGCACGACACAGGTAACGCAAATGAATTACAAAAAAAAATATTATGCAATTTCCTTGCTGCAATTCAAGCAGAAATCTGCTGTAGAGTTAATCTTGTTATTTTCACCTATATGCTTATTTCATTGTGTTTAGCAAAATCTTAACATAACAAAGAAAAAAAATTGGTCATTATGTTATTACCATTAGGGCCCAAATGATTTTTTACAGTCTCCAGTAGTTTCCACTGCGGTGAGTCTTCATTCTCATTCTTCTCTTCATCACTATCACCAGCACTATCTTCCGAATGCTATGTGAAATAAACAGATGTTATTAAAGTCTAATTTGAGAACAGAATACATAATCTGCGAAATCTTTTAGTTTAGTTGGTTCGAGTCCGACATACCACTTCACCGTAAGCTCCGGTGAGGTGACGACCCGTGGGGCTGAACTGAAAGGCAATTAAAAAATGATAGACCTGCTTTCCTAAATAGCAACAGAAAAATGGAGCTTAAAGTCTACTTCAGGCTTCATGTTTCTATTATGAATAACCAATTGAAAGGTTTCAGTATTCAGAAAGCCTATTTTAACACAAGAATCCAATCATAGAAAATATACATATAAGTTGTATTTATTTAATATCCACTAGATAAATTAGAAATAAGGACAGAAAGGTTAGTGTGTAATTTGGATGGGCAGAGACGTTAGAACGTCATTTGCCATTATCCAGACATACATCTTACGCTTTTTTACACAAACAAACACATAACCCTCTAATTTTAGTTTTACCTCAGTCAAGTCCAGAAAAAAAAATACCTTAACAATCTCCGTGTCCGATCCGGGCGGCTCCATGATGGCAAGCGCTTTGCTGGAGGGTACGGGACCCACGCGTGATGTGCGCTTGCTGCGAATGCGTTCCGATGTCTTTGCTGGCCCCGACCGGCCGTGCTGGTCGATGTCTTGCTTACGCATTTGTATTATCTGAGACCAGCACAGTATTGAATTCAGTGCTAATTGACTATGCTTCTTAATTTTTTTTGTACATAAAGATATTTCAAAAATCAAATTCCAGAAGCAGAATCAGAAAATTATAGGGAAATCATTAAACAATTGGACATTGTTAATGTCCTTTACTGAAAGGGTTACAATTTTTTTTTAAACTTTATGCACAAAATGCAGAACAGCACTGCAAAGAGAAGGAAAACTTAAATCAAACCCTATACCAAACCCGTCTGGCCAGCATGATTTAGTAGGCCAAAACCTCCTTTCTAAGGAAAGGCCTATGTCAAGCAGTGGACTATTAAAGGCTGGTGATGATACATAAAAATATACTATGACTGACTTAATGCTATTAGCATTCTTTAATAATGACAATAATCATAATAGTTTATTATTTCTCTCTGACATAGATACAAAATACATAATTGCATAAAGGAAGTTTAACCTAGACATATATTTGCTACTATGTGAGAGACTGGCATTTGTATAAGGAGACCTGTATGATAGATTACCAGCTTCTCCACACATCACTGGACCCATGCAGTACCAGTATGTCTTGGGTGTCGGGGGGCTAATGTGAATATTGCTACCAGTCAGCAGAATGGGTAAGCTTTATTTTCATAATATTCCTATTTTGATAATAATTTAATCTAACTAAATAAAATTTTACTTAATAATACATGCCTTTTTCAAAGTTTTTGCATCTTTATAAATCTGGCTGCCTGGCTCATTAAAATGGCAGGCGTTTCTCACCATCAGCAACAGATCTTTCTCCAAATCATTCAAGTTGGTGTATTCGCCACCCTGAATTTTCTGGGCAATGGTCTTCAGGTCTATGGGTGAATCTATGACACTGAAGTACTCAGGGTAGCGGCGCTTTGAGGGTAGGAATTGGAAAGCCCGGTAAAGGGGACGCCCATCATTGTTTGCTGTCATGACCTAAGACAATCGGAATTGGTTATTTGTGAGTAATAATGTTTCCAATATGTTCATAGGAGTTATATAAAGATATAAACCATTGAAGTAATTTGCTGCCACTATTACCTGCTACTTTATGTGTTTATAAGGGAGATGACTCATTAGTGCGTTGCGTCGTCGCAACGGATCAACGCATGGTATGCCACACCACACACCACCAAGAGGGCGACACACACTACACACCACCAAGAGGGCGACGCACGCACTTCACCTCGGTGTTGATTTCAGTCTCCATTCCACAATGGATCAGAACAAACGCATTCTATTATTGCTTTTATTGCGCCACCACCGAAACAAACGTACGCTTCTCCTGCTTTGCCTCTTGTCCGTCGATCCGTTGAAACTTTGCGTGCGACGACCCAACGCCCTAATGAGGCATCTCTTTAAGAATTACATTAAGATATTGTCATGCTTTTTATGAAATGAAATGATTACATTTTGACACTTACAGCACCAAATAGTTCTTCATATACATTATCCTCTTCATTGTTGGTGGAGGTTTCTGATAAATCTTCAGCCACGTCCGATCTTCTGCTTGATGATCCATTACGAGACAATTTTGCCATTTTGGTGTCTTCTCCTGTAAATTTTAAATTATAATTAATTTATTTATTAGTTTTTACCCTCCAGATGCTGTGTACTGCCAAGTATAAACATGAGGGAAGTAATTTTTTTTTTTTTTTAAAAGACAACGCCCACATTAGGAATACATATTCCTGTGTCGCGGGGGACTTTACAAACATACATGAAACGGACACAAAGAACACAAGTATTAACAAAAAAGATCTAACCAGTCTCAAGTGCCTGTTTCGTCTGCATGTAGAGCTTCCAAAGATCAATGGCATCTCTGTATTCCACAGTGTCTGGCTTGTAAAATGCTTTAGCATTGTTCACCAGCAGTTCTATATCAGCTGACAATTCATCTATGTCTTCATAAGTGTCTGTTTTTAGTTTTTGTTGCACCTGGAATTAATAAAAGTGATTAAATCACCTTAACTACTTTTAAATTGGAAATACCTTTTTTGTAATACAAAGTTTGAATCCAGTGGTACTTCCTGTTAAGAAATTTAACAATCAAACAAAAAACTTCAACATCATTATATTAATATAGATTGTAACTTTTTTTTTCAAATTCAAATTCATTTATTTGCAGAATGTAGTACATACAACAGATGTCAATAATTACAATACTGGTTCAGTACATTCTACCATGACAATGGTGTGCAAAAGGTGTCATAAAGTGCTGCACTAGCAGCTCACAGTCCATACTAGGTCAATTTTATTATTAAAAGTTCTTCTATACCATATGCACGAATTTATAGAATAAGTGAGACAATAAATAAAGATTTGTCAATAAAATCATGTCAGCTTTGAATATTATTATGAATTAAAGTAATTATATTATATTGTATATTAAAATTGAAATTAAGTGATAAAAAAAATAGTAAATATTTGTATAGGGCGGATCGCAATTATGTAAATGTTATGTTGAGGTAGGTTCCAAATATTCTTTGACTGAGTAGAAACATTTTTGTGTGAGATAAAGTTTAATTTTTTTTTGGAAAAGTAGTGGTTTTCTTTCGTTTTTAATAACGTCTGGTAGCTTGTTAAATATTTTAACTGCCATATAGTATGGGCTTTCGTTCAACATTTTTATTCTTGACGGAGGAAGGTAAAGCCTATTTTTGTGCCGGGTGTTTATGGTGTGGGTGTCTTTTACTTTTGTAAAGGCATCAATATTTTTGAACACAAATACGCATATGTCGAGTATATATATCGAGGGCAGAGTTAAAAGTTGAAATTTTTTAAAAAATGGTTTACAACTCTCCGTGTTATTAATTTGGGCTAGGATTCTTATACATTTCTTTTGCATTATGAATAGTTCACCGCTGTTAACGCTATTTCCCCATAGCATGATGCCATATCGGAGCCACGAGTATGCATACGCGTAGTAAGCAGACAAAGCTGTCTGTGTGTTAGTAGATCGTTTAATTTGAAGAAGGGCGTAAGAAAATCTAGAAAGTTTTGATTTAATGTGCTCGATGTGTGATTTCCAATTCATATGTGTGTCTATTTTCATCCCAAGTAATGTAAATGTCTCAACTTCTTCTAAACGTGTGTTTCTGTACATTATGTTCAATTTTAAAGGAGATTTTTTATAAGATCTGAATTGTATTATTTTTGTTTTAGTTGAATTTATTTCTAAGTTGTGATCCTTAAGCCAGTTATCTATTGTTTGAAGAGTGTTTTGTAAAAGAAGATTTGGGTTATTTTCACTTTCGCATTTTAATAGTATCGAAATGTCGTCCGCAAAAAGTACCGGCAGAGTTTTTTCTTTGTCTAATGTTTTTGGCAAATCATTTATATAAATTAAAAATAACACACAACCCAATACACTTCCTTGGGGTATTGAGGAAGTTATTTGGAGTTCTCGAGATCTGAAGGATTTTATTTCATTTTTGTCATGGTTGTAATGATTAATTTGTACTATTTGTCTCCTATTTTCTAAGTATGATTTAAACCATGAATAAGCGGGTCCCCGTACTCCACAGCCATATAATTTGTTGAGTAAAATGTCGTACAGGACCCTGTCATACGCCTTTGTCATGTCCAGCAACATTCCTACTACGTGTTGTTTGTCATTTATGTGTTGTAACGCTCTTTGAATATATTTGTACACGGCTAACGTTGTTGATCTACATTTTCTAAATCCATTTTGTGAATCGTCAAGAATATTAAACTTTTCTAGGAACGCATATAGCTGGTTACACATAGCTTTTTCGAATACCTTTGAAAACGTTGGTAAAAGGGCTATTGGCCTATAATTTGTAGGAGTGTTTGTATCGTCTTTCTTATGTATTGGTTTGACTAAAGCGACTTTTAGTGCGTCTGGAAATTGACCGTCTTCAAAACTTTGATTTACTAGTAATGTCAGAGGGGTTGAAAGTTCCATTGCACATTGTTTTAATAAGATTGGTGGAATATCGTCGATACCACAACTATGCTTATTTCTAGTTGATCGAATGATATCGATTATTTCTTTTTGATTTACAGGGCGCACGTACATTGAACATGTGGAGGGGTTAACCACTGGTTGTCCAGGGGCGATGTTAGAGCTGGTTGTTTGGTTGTGCCCTACCGTTGCAAAGAATTCGTTAAATATGTTGGCTATATCTGAAGGACATTTGACTTCTTCATTGTTAACATTTAATGATATATTTTTAAGTCTGTCTATTTTCGTTTTACCGGTTTTTGTGTTAATTATATTCCACATTGTTTTGACCTTATTTTCAGAATTTTTCATTTGCCTAATAAATTCCAATTTTTTTGATTTTCTAATAGTGTATTTTAATATTTTACTATATGATTTGTAGTGTTTTTTTATTACATCACTTTTAGTTTCATTAAAGATGGTTCTTAACACCCTTTTATGCTTGCATGAATTTTTGAGACCTGTAGTCAGCCACCCTTTTTTAGGTTTGCTTTTTATTTTTATTTTTTGTACCGGGATATGTTTATTGAGATTTTGTTGTATGAATGTCATGAAGGATTCATAATTTTTTTGTACACTATTGTTGTTGTTTAGTATACTTTCCCAATTTATACTCAAACTAAATATATAAGAATGTCAAAATAGCTTTATCTAAACATACCCTTAATAAATCAATAGGTTGTGAAACCACTTCATAATACTGCGGTTCTTGGCGTCTCTTTGGAGCTCTGATGAAAGAGTCACAAAGCAATGTTCCATCTTCCTTCTTGTATGATCTAATTGTGTCATACAGCTGCTGGCAGATTTCACTCTGGAAGTTAAATAAACAATTATGTATGAAAAAATAACATCAAAATTACTATTAATTTGCAAGTATTCATTCTTATAGAATACCAGCTTTTGACAGTGGCTCCACCAATATGTATGTCTGTCTTCACAGTAAAAAGTAGCCTATGTTCCTTGCTGATAATGTAGCTTTCCATCGGTGAAATCATTTTTTAATGGATTGTTATTTAGGTGTGACAGCGTAACAACTAAACAGACTTATTTTAACACTGTAAGTATGGATATAATTATTTAACTGGTGGTACCCGCTACTTCGTTTGCATGGAATTTGAAAAGCACTGAATTGGGGGGTTCAATACCTGGACTGGGCAAAATTTCAAAGGGTTTTTTTTACTTCTTATATAGACAGCTACCTGGTAGTTAAATATTATCAAAATCAGTCCAGTTGTTTAGGAGATTACCCAGGACAAACAGACAGACAGACAAAATAAAAATAAACTGGTTTTAGGCATAGGTATTGTGCAAAAAAGCTGTGTAAGCATGAATAAAATCCATCTATGAAACAAAAATTCTTTAGCTTAATCATATTGAAATTTAATATCAAGCACACTCAGCTTCTTGGAGTACTCGTTACATCATGGATCAATTGAGTAGGAGCATTGCAGGTATTGCCTAAAGCATGGTTTTGATTAGACATGGTAACACAACACTTTATCTACAAATGATATGGTTGTGTATGAAGTATCAAGCTTATAAGCAACCTATAAAACCAAGTCTGTAAGCATTATGTTTGCACAATAGTTTAAAAGTTATTAATAGACTCAGTGACTATTTTATTTGGTTTCCTTTTGCAAACCCTACAAATATGGAATTAAATGGCAATATCAAGACAATAAGAATATGGAAGTGACTAGGGCGCCTGTGACACAGGTTGTGGTTGTTGCGGGTCACTTACAGGATCTAGCTTCTTTCTCTTGCGAGCCGATGGTGGAGGACCAGGGTTGCTCAACTCAATACCGTCATCGCTGTCGTCGCCATCAGCACCGCGGGAAGCCGCAGAAGATGCACGGCGTCTCTTACTCATTTTGTCAAATTAATCACAAAAAATTACAAATTTACGTTAAGGCCATACAGCTACAGTAGTCGTTACATTCTTTGATTACTCCAAATCAAAGAATAATATGTTATTATACAGAAATAAATCAACTTAATTTCTATTTAATTCCCAAATGAATGTGGACTAATCTATTGACTATTGTAGACCAAATTTATTCACTAAGACCAAAATGCGAAAGCAAAAACACACTATTTACAGGATTGAGAAATCCGATATATAAAGCATTAGTATTAATGGAAAAAGTCAAATACTTTTCAGTGCTGTGATACTCGAGTACGCGTGCCAAACTGAGATAGTGAAAAATCGAATGTCAGTTAACAAAGCTATAAATATATTAGCATAGAAATATGGAACGCGAAAGGTCATTTTATGTCAAGCGTCAACAATATACTCTGTGGTCAACTCTATCTGAGTAGCAATCATTACTACTAGCTTTTGCCCGTACCTCCGCCCGCGTGTCTGTCGGTTTTCGCGGGAACAAAGTACTGTCTTACTCGCTGATAATGTAGCTTTCCATTGGTAAAAGATTATTAAAGTCGGTTTAGTGTTTTAGGCGTGAAAGTGTAACAAACAAACACAATTCACTTTCACTTTATAATAAAAATAAGGAAGTATGGATAAATAAAAAATAAATCATATTCCATTATAATAGATCTGATTTATAACAGGCCTGGATCTAGGGGGGCAAACCGGGGCTCCCGCCCTGGGCAGTACTTTCAAGGGGCGCAAACTTGGTCAACAAATGCAATTTTTTTAAAAGGTTCTTCTTCTTCTTCTTCTTCTTCTTTAGCCTTAATCGACCAAATATTTGGTGTAGGCCTCCTTTAATCCTCTCCACTTTCCTCTGTCTTGGGCAATTAGGATCCAGTTGCTGCCCGCCACTTTTTTGATGTCATCCTTCCATCCTTCTGTTATAAATCAGATCTATTATAATGGAATATGATTTATTTTTTATTTATCCATACTTCCTTAAAAGGTTCTTATAACAACAAATATATTTTTATGTCCCAATCACGAAACATGCCAACCGTTATATTTGTGAATTTGAGTTTTTTGAAGTTATTTATCTCAAAAGCTGGAGAGAGAGGGCGCTATTATTAAGTTTCTGCCCCGGTTCGAAAAAATCGTAAATCTGTCTGAAAATCAGTAGGTCAAGTGCGTACGTTTGTGCTACGTGCTTGCGTCAAACACACAGTTGTCTGTCTGTCATCTCATCTGCTAATCTTCTTCACTTTGTATAAAATGGAGTCGCTTTTCGTTCGTTTACGCTTAGGTCTTTAAAAAGACTTAACGGATTTTTTTAATGCGAATTTCACCATTAGATAGATTCAAGGGGAAAATTTATATTACACACATATTCAAAATAAAAAAACAAATCCCGCAATTTGGTTTGATTACCAACATGAATAGGTACAATGAAAAAAGACCTTAATTATCAAATTCCATCCACCGTCCATCACCATTTATACACCCATTTACATGATAGAGGTAAAAAAGAACATTACTTAGTCCGGATATGAGACAACGATAACCTTACTCTGATCACGATTACGGTTCGAGAGCTGCGAATTTCTAATAGACAAATGGGAAAATATTTCCCAACATCATAATAATATAAGAAACTTGATGTACAGCATCCCAAACGGCATAATCGCACGTGAAGGTACCACAAAGCACTAGAATTTGAAATATTTTTTAAGGTTTAAATAGTTTTTTTAATGATAATGATGATGATATATGATGTGTGTGTATGATAGTTTTTTGTTTTTCTATTTTTGTTTTAGGATGTTTTTAATGTAGTTTTTATGAATATGTACAATACCTACAAACAAATGATACTTTCATTTAAGGAGTATAAATCACAATTTAACGCAATTTATTTCATTACGCTGGCATTCTTAGCGTTAATACCTAAATAAACTCATTCGGTACATACCTACCATCTACAATTAAATTATATTTCTACCTACGCGTACAAAACTGTAGCATAACCCTCAGGCGCGTAACATCGTAGTTTAAAAATTTTCGTACACCCCCAGTTCTTATCTTTGCCATTTAGTTAGCATTCTACTTCTTGCAGATACTTTTTAGCTGTAAAAACGTTAACTTTAAACCATCGAAATGAACAAGTATTTTAAAAACTTTATAGTATGCTCAGACATTGATCAATATTGCTTGCTATGCAAGGAAACGTTTCAACTTATACAGGATATTGAAAAACATATACGATGGGAACAACATAGAAAAAATCTCAAATCTCAAACACCTATGGCGAAATTTGCTAAAGAGGATATTCATAAGGTACGTATGTAATATTATTATATTTACTGAACTAATAGGGAAATATATGGTTAATGTCAAGTCTTATTTTCAAGGGGGTATTAACATGTGGCATTGACGACTCATTATAACCAGACCAAACCTTTATTGTACATTTTATAGAGTATAGACTGTCCATGCAATAAAGCGACTTCAGTCCAGTAATGTAGACAGTCTCATCAATTTAAACAGATTGTAAGATCTTCCCCAATATAATTGTCGTCTTGTAACTTCCACCATAGATTTCAATTGCAACGCCCATAAGTTAAAGCAATGGCAAACCACATAAGTTAAAGCAATGGCATGCACACCAGTTAAAGCAGTATTAGCTATAATTTATATATTTATGTAACTATCTTTTTTCAATAAAATTTACCGGGATAAAAACTGGTCGTTGCGCTTTTCCCGATTGCAATGTATATTTGTGTCAAACATTTATCCAAACTTTCGCATTTATAAGTAGATACAAATGTAACATTGTTGGTGAAAGACGTCATGTAATTTTGTGAAATAAAAATTCGATATATATTTGTCTGAAAAAGTTCCCTATCAAAAAGAATGTTTAGCCTATTAAAAGCCTATATTTTTTTCAAAGATTGATATGTTATTACCGATGCCTATTGCCTACATTCTTTAAAAATATGTATTATCGAATCATTTTCGAATTGCATATCGACACTGCATTTTGGAAATCATTAATGAAAATGTTGAGGCTGTTTTCATATAAGGTAATAAAACAACATTCTGACGGTACATTCCTTAAATTATTATTATAGATTATTTATATATAAATAATCTAAAGTACCTTCTTTTCCGTTAACAAATAGTTTTAAAGATTTTTTTTCGATATATATGACCGCTTCTGAGAACATGTAGTCTCACAACTCGAAAAAAAAAAAACTAAGTAGTAGTAGACGTACAGGTTTTAAAGATAGCATTTATGCGCATTTGGGTAATTTTGTTAGAACTAGTTTACCCAAGTAAGCATACTATAGACACACTCACAAAAGGAATTTGGTCGGTTTTTTATATACCTACTGTTTATGTACGGGTTTTTTATATACGGATTTATGTAGGTACAAATTAAGATTTTATAAGTTATCTATATATCATCATCATCATCAACAGCCTATAACAGTCCACTGATGGACATAGGCCTCTCCTTAGAAAGGCCTACTATACCACGCTGGCCAGACGGGTTGATATAGGGTTTGTTTGAAGTTTTCCTTCTCTTTTCAGCACTGCATGTTGTCCTGCGTAGTTTGCTCCCTTAGTTGGCTCTTACGACACCCACGGGATGACTAGGGGTGGTGACATTCCGTATTCTTAATCCGTCACCCCACGGACATATATATATATATATATATATATATATATATATTGAATATCTGTTCATACTCCGATAGGACCTATGCAACTCTAATGTGTGTTTATTTTCAGATTGAAAACATATATTATTGTGAAATATGTAATAAAATACTGCCGAATATAACTTCAGTAAAAGAACATGTCAAGAGCGAAAAACACGTATTTCTTAAAACCAATCCCGACCCTCAACCAAAGAAACCTGCCGGGTTGTATCAATCTGGCTATGTCTTAGTTGGGCAAGTCATTTTAAGTAAAGCCCAGTGGCATTCTATTGTAGATAACAAATGTCAGATTTGTAATGTTTATGTAAATAATGTTTATGAGCATGTGAAGCTGGAAGAACACATGCTCAAGTTCTTGCAGTGTGAAACCAAATATTCTGATAATCAGTTTTATAGAAAGGTATGTTGTTAATTCATTGCGGAGGTAATTGTACTAATAAGTATGTGTAGAAAACTAGTAGAGGTCTAAAAAGGAACCACCTCGTCTTTGTCAGAAGAGGTACTAACCAATACTCTATGAAAAGGATGATGGCGTAACAATGGCACTCTATTGAAAGCACGGGTCACATATTTGAGGCACGCCACCAATTAAAAAAGTTTAGGTACTATAACGCAGAATCGAACGCGAGAATGAATAGAATTAAAGACTCGCTTGGAAACCGGCTATCAGATAACTCCATTGCAGCATGCATTTTGTTAATAGTAATATCTTACAAAACTAACATAAATAATTTATCATGTAATCCGCAACACCACACACGATACTTTAATTTCCAAAAGGTGGGTATTTTGCCGTATACCTATAAGAAAAAATTAAAAAAATGTATTAAGATAGCATAGGCAAACATTAGTTTTAGTTCATATAATGACAAAATACAATTTAAAAATTCAATTCAAAGTTTTTAGTTTTTTTCTGTTTCTTAACATCATGAAATAATAGGCGCCACAGAAAAAGGAACAATACTTATGTCTGATACAGTCCTAACTTCCTTTTTATTACGCTTTTATTAGCTTAGTATATATGTATGCATGTATCTTGGCATGAAGGTATGATGTAAAGGAATCTTCGAACGTGATTTTGACCCACTTTAAAACGTCGAGGCAAATTAAAACTTTGCACACTTATTAAGGACCTATGACAATGCAATAATTTAAATAGTTTGTCCCATTACCCAGATCAGGACCTTCAGGATTAACTGCTTTTTCCATATCTAGAAATACAGTAGTGCTTTTTGCCACATCCTAAGGCGTGTGGCAGGTAAGGTGAAATATATGTACCTGATGAACTTACTTGTTTAGTCTTAATAAGATAATAATCATAGATGACTAAAAAAGGAAAATTAAATTATAAAAACTAAAAAACACCAAAAATTAGACAATAATTTTCGAAATTTTCTTGTGTTTTAGCTTGTTTTTTAAAGCGTGTTTTTTTAAAACTATAATTTATTCTAGACGTTTTTGGCCCGTTTACACGAGAGATCAGTTTGGTTTGAAATACATTGATAATATAACTATGTACTCGTATAATATAAACATATATTGTATATATAATATATGTACAACATAGATATATATTCATGTCGGAACTTTTCGATTCGAAGAAAAAATTTTTTTTTTCATGTAAGTAGTTACGTTCTAGGCGATAAGTAGTACCTACGAATGTTTTCGGTGCCATACGCACGCTCGCTCGTAACTTCGGCGCGCCTGCCCCCCCTACATACAACACATTTCATTACTTTATTTTTAGTTCTGTGGTAGCCCCATGCTATTATTTTAGGAATAAACATATTGTAGCGAAATTACACGAAGTTGCCAGAAAGAGAGGCAGTTTATCTAACCACGCCCTACCGCGAATATTTCTAGATTGAAGCAGGGTTGTCACGGAACAATGAGCTTTATAACATCTTGCATAAGATCATAAATAGATAGATCGATAATACTTTATTTGTACACCAGGGTTTTACAGACCTTATAAAGTAATTAAACGAACGACAGATGTAATGTACAAAGGGCGGCCTTATCTCTTAGAGAAATTTCTTCCAGGCAACCTTTGAATTGACTGGATTTATTTTAAGCTGGTGATAGGTATACAGAAATTAGAGTAATAAATTATCGGGCAATCTTGTCTACTTTGACAACCGCCATTTATTCTTCGAAATAGTTCTTTTGAATTTTCTAAATACATTAATGAAGTTTTAGCGAGTAGTTTAAATACATACACGTCATCGCCGGTAGGGCAGTTCAGTATGAGCTACAGTGCGATACACATCGACGCAATTTAAGTGAACAGAAAAGTAACCCAGCGACCTCGGCGATCATTCCGAACTGTTATTAAGAAATGATTGGTTCTATTAGTATATCAGTAATAAATTCTCTTGAGTCGTTAGAAGTCGTGTCAACTTTGTCGTGTAAAATTTGGAAATACCGTTGACTCCGGTGTCACCCACCGGGCCACGCTCACTTCTGTACAAGCTCCCTTTAGCCACACTCCTGCGGCCGCGCCCACGCCAGACTTATCAGATCTATTGAAGATGATGGTGGCTGTACAAAATAGGCAAGACCAGCTTGATAGTAAGTCTGCGGTTTTACAAAATTTGGCAAGAGAAGCTAAAAAGTAAGTTTGTGGGTATACAAAATGGACAAGAACAGCTAGACAACAAGTTTGTGGGAACCTGCGACTGTACAATGTCGAAGAACCATGAGAACGAATCATGGACCATTTCCTGTCAGTGAGTCGAGGAACAATTACTTCATGGTTTTTATGGACTAGGGGAGGGTGGGGTAATTACGAACACTTAAGGGGAAATTGAAATTAAACAAAACCAGATTAAGTTACGAATGTCATTTATTACTTAACATTTACTTTAACTAATGAACCTTAAGTTCTGATAAGCAACATAGATAAACTTTAAATACAGAAACGAATATTAATAAGAAAACAAAACTATGGGGTTCGGAATTACCCCACAACACGGGGGGTAATTACGAATGGTGTGTAGGGTAATCACGGACATAATCTAATCATCACACAAATCACATATAAATCCTTTTGATGTACTTTCACCACTCGTACACTTTTCATGGACCCATAAATTACATTTGTAGCATTTTATCCAATCTTCATGTGGAGGATCTTCATATTTTTCATCAAAACTAAGCAAAAATACTCATTTTCTTTCGCATCTCTTTCTTTGGTTTTCTTTTTCTTACACGGTACGTCCTTTTCTTGAACCTTTATCTTAATATCAGTATCTGCAAATGCTTGACGATTCTTCACACCTTTCTTGGAACCTTTAGTGGACCTAGCAGCCTTTTCCCTTCCTTTCATATACTCCTTATTTTTGCTTGCAAAGCTTCCAAATTGTCGAAGAACATTTTCACTTCTGTTTCATTAAAAGCTGTAATTCTATTGATAGACGTGGACTCAGGTTTACGTAGCGAAATATTAGGATGTCTTTTCTTAAACCCGTAGAACCAATCCTTTCCTGCCATTTGAGATGTTTTGTCAAAATTGTGCTTTAAGTGATTTACTTCGGCAAATTTAAAAGCTATTTTCCGGACCATTTCTATGGTCAAACCATAAAATAGCTTACTGCATTTTATGATATGTTCTTCTAATTCTTTTTCCTGTTCTTCAGAAAATACAGCCTTCCTTCCAGTTTTTGGTTCTTTTATAACTTCCTTTTTGAGATGGTCGTATATAGTACTTTTTGGAATAGAATAAGTAGCAGCTGCTTTTCCTAGTGAAAGTTTTTTGTTCTTAACAACCCGAATGGCTCTTTCTAAGTCTTCTAATTTGTATTTGGTCTCCGTCTTTCTTTGGTAATTTCGTGGCATCTGAAACATATTTGAGTAGGTATAAATAAGCTCGTGAAGGTACAGTGCTGAAAGCAGAGAAACATAAAAACAAACTTCCTCAAATGTATTTCATCAAAATTCATCATTATTATCATCAACGCAATGCAGTCGACTGCTGGACCTAAATTATAAAATAAAAAACAATAATTTAATTGTTCAGGGGTATTTACGAACGGTCGGGGTTACCCCACTGAAATCATCCGTAATTACCCAACAGACACGTTATCACAAAACTATTTCTTTTTTTTAGGTTAGAATCGCGTGATACACGCGGCAAGTCCTTAGAAACATTCTTGAATTAGGACGTTAATTCATAAAAAAAATACCGAATTTCTATGTTACACCTAAAATATTATATATCTATTCAAATTTACTCCAAAATTATATGAAATTGTTGAAAAAACAAAAAGTTAGCATACCTTTTACACCGAGTGCGTTGTTGCTTCACCACTCTTTGTTCGGCACTAGGTTCGGGATCGACTCACGATTGCATTACTCGGAATATCTTCTATCCTTTTTTAACATAGCCAAACGAACGTATCCGCGATTACCCCGCGTCCGTGATTCCTCCACTCTCCCCTACTTCACCAAGTGGCCAGAAGTATTTGCCATACCTAATCTCCTGATTAGGTATGGCAAATACTTCTATACGTATGGCAAATAATTTTGGCAAATAATTCTTCGACCGATTTAATCGCCAATGTTATGGCTATGTCATATGTGCGTTTGGCGTGACCTTAGAAATCCATTCAGATCAGGGCAGAAAGTTCGAGTCGCAGTGTTTTAAGGAGCATGTATAATTTTGGCATAAGACTTAAAACTCCGTATATCATGCCCAATCAGATGGAATGGTGGAGAGATTTAACTAGACGCTCGAGAAGGATCTGGCAAAATTAGTGGACACTTATCAGCGTGACTAGGACCAGTACATTCCCTTGTTCCTCCTCGACTACAGATCCACGGAGCATTAAAACATAAAGGCGACTCCCGCATACGTCAACTTCGGTAGAGAACTTCGAATACTAGTACACCTACTTACGGGAGGGTCACTGGTCGAACCTCACAGTTACTGACTACATATCTGTTTTACTAGGAAAGAATGCAGGAGATAAATGCAATGGGATCGGGTTGGAAAATGGTCTACAGGCGATCGAAAATATGAAACCAGAAACTACCGGTGTTCAAATTCAAACTGCTGCGCGCTGGTTTGGCCATAAGAGTATAATCCGAAGTAATCTGAACCGTAGAAAAGAGACCGTAGAAAAAAGGGCAAATGGGAGGCGTGTCATTACCTGAATGAACGACGTGACCTGTAGGATTCAGCGAGGATTTTTAGTAGTCAATAGTTTTGGGTTGATAGTATTTTGTATTATTATTTCCTTAATTCGCGACATTAGATATATTTGACGGTACATATATGGCCTTATGTTTACATATCTTTAAAAAAATAGCACTTTACTACATTAAGGTCTGAAACCCCTGCTACGATGAATGAGGTAGTGTAAAGTTTTTGGCCCGCATATTTTGCCACACTCATAGTTTTTTGATCATGATAATGATGATGATAGTTATTTAATTTTTGTGATTGTTAAGTTTGTTATAATTGTATATTTTGGCGGGAACCTATAGCAATTTGTATATTTTCTTGTACCTAAATACTTTCAGATTAATGAAGATAAATACCACTGTTGGGCTTGTAAGGCCATATACTCAGCCGTGGGTTATGAAGAACATTTAGAAGACTGCGAAAATAAAGATGAAGTGGAGGTTCAAGAACTAAATGTTTCTAAAACTGGTACCAAAACTACTACTGATACTACTACTGATCCTGCTGTTGATCCTGCTGTTGATCCTGCTGTTGATCCTGCTATTGATCCTGCTGTTGATCCTGCTGTTCATCCTGCCGTTGATCCTGCTATTGATCCTGCTGCTTATCCTGCTGTTGATCCTGCTGCTGATCCGGTTGCTGATTCTGCTGCTGTTCCTACTATTGATCCTATGGCTGTTGTTAAGCAATTGTCCGATACCTTAGCTCTTCATGAGGAAATAGAACGTAATCTTCTTACGGCATTCGCAGAATTCTTTAATGTGGATGAGATAACCAAGATGGCGCTATGCAAATTTTGTAGTGCAACTGTTACCCATAATTTTGAATCGGTGATAGTCCATATAAAAGAAAACCATAATGAAAGGGCAGAGGGCACCAAGATGGAGGTTCTTGCTGATTTGTTAAATGAATGTAAAATGAGAGAGATGAGAAAAGAGTTTGATAATGGTAAGAAAAGATCAGATTTGTCAAAATATGGTAAGGCCAACCATATCAAATTGAACTACAATGGTACCAAAGGATACTGCCAGATATGTGATAAATATTTGTCTGCAAGCATGGTTGTCTTTGAAGAACATTTAAAAGGATTAATTCACACGGGTCACCTTGAGTTGCTAGGGCTAAAGGAACCCGATACTGCAAGAGTTCTTGTAGAATATACCTTAGAAAGTATCATGACCTATGTTAAAAATCTGCAATATGCACCAAAAACTCACACAGTTCTGATAAATAATGAATTCTATATCAATATGAATCATTTTCTGCTTGTCTCTCCAATTCAAAATGATCCACATTATGTAAAAACCAAATGTTATGTGTGTAATGAGCTTTTTGAGCAAGGAACAGAAGCTGAACATTGCATAAAAATATCTCACAAAGATCATTTTATTGCCTCATTGATAATACCAAAACCAGAGGAATTTGTTAGAATGGTAAGAATTAATGCAAAAATTTTAAAGCTGTATTTCAATCGGGCTTAATACTCGTAGGTACCTATGTGACTTTTGTGGGTAGTTTAACAATTACTAAAAGCCTTCTTAGAAGCCCTTTTGAACAGAAACTCACTAAACATAGAATGGTTTTGCTAAGAACGTTATAAACCTATTTATATGGTCTTATATTAATATATATTGTCTAGATTTTTTTTTTAATAACTATGTTAATGACGCCTTTTAGTGCCTTTTTTTGGCAAACGAGCAGACTACCGCGGCCTATAGAAACCTACAACTTAAGAGTCTCAAGGGCGTTGTCGGTGGAGTACACCCCCTCCCTCCCTTCCCATCCTCATAATCCGAGTAAGGGAGGGAGCCCCAACCAGGGCTCCGGGAACCTCACTCACTCGGTGAAAAGTAAATAAGAAAGAATTATATTTATTTAACACTTGTTTTCTTGTTCACGGGGTGGGAAAGATCCACATGGATGCCCTTCGTCCATTGAGAGGTGGCGAAGGAGTATGTCTATCTCTTACTGACTAAAAACCACCCTGGTGTTCCTCACCTTGCTAATGGTCGGGGAGCGAGAAACGCAATTGCATTCTTCTGCTAATTTAACACTAGTTTTCTCTGAGGCCCTTGTACTCCAGTCGAGCCGGCCCATGTCTGATGTTATTAGGATTTTGTATACCAACGCATTAAAAATAAATGTGCTAATTGTTTCAAAACCAAAAGCTTTTGATCAAATAGGTAATTATTACTTAGAAAGTTAAAAAAGGGTGTGTCAGCTTCGACTCACGACTGGAGTGTACTCGTTAAGAACGATTCGGCTGCACACAAGTATACAAGTTATAAACACACATGTGAAAGGTGCGCACAGGTCATTCGATCACTAAATTTTATTCTTCATGTTTTTTCATTACATGAAAATCGATTCCTAGGAGTAAACTCTTAATTTCTTAAGTAACGATTATCGATTTGATCAAAACTTCAAATAGCTAATTATTCCTCAAGAAGTTCCTTAATATTGTTTATTAAAGGAAGGGGCTAGTCTTGATTTGAATTCTTGAAACAAAATATTTTAGAAGAAAATTTAAAACTATCAAACCTATTCATAAATGACAACCTTTTGTTCACATCATCTATTTTCCAGATTCGGCCTAATCTCTTCCATTGTGGTTTTTGCAACTCCACCTTGCCTTTTTCCAAAGGCTTAGAGATCCATCTACAGAGTACGAAGCACAAGAATTTGAGAGCCGCCAATACTGTGATAACACCAGATACGGATCTAGGCAATATCGCACTACAAACTGTTGAAGCAACAACCTTGACTGCTGATCAATATTCGGATTTGTTACAAAATTTTTGTGACTCTACCAGGTTTTAGTCCAGCTTAAGAAGTTCAAATTTTTTAATAGACTTGAAAGCCTTTTATAGAGTTAACATTAATTTGTATTTTTTTTTTATCTATACTAATATTATAAAGCTGAAGAGTTTGTTTGTTTGTTTGAACGCGCTAATCTCAGGAACTACTGGTCCGATTTGAAAAATTCTTTCAGTGTTAGATAGCCCATTTATCGAGGAAGGCTATAGGCTATATATCATCACGCTAAGACCAATAGGAGCGGAGCACCAATGAAGAATGTTTCAAAAACGGAATTTTTACTATTGAGAGACGCAGACGAAGTTGCGCGGGTCAGCTAGTTTTTAATATGTGTTATTGCCATACAGACAAGACCGTACTTAATGGATGTGGTTACACCACATTTTTACGAAATGGTTCTTTTGGTAATTTAGCGTTTCTGTCTTAGCCTATGATATTTTAAAGAAAATACGTTATATTCAAACTGCACGCACAAAATATGCATTTTAACTACTAATGCATTTTAGAACAAAACATACACTCACTAGTTGTATGATGTTCCTTGATCTTTATTTACCTTTTTGTCGCAATTTCAGAATACGCAGGCATTTTATGAATTTTCTCGAATTAATTAGTATACAAAACGCAGTGGTCCTAATTACGACCGTCGCTTTTGTGCGTTGGTGGCGTACCTACCTCTTGTTTGTATACCCATATCATTGGTCTTAGCAATATCTATCCTCTATTCCGTTTTGTTAGGACTGTTGGTTTGATTAATCGAATAGTATGGAAAAATGACCTGTTAGATTTTTTGTAAGACCATTGGTCTAACAATCCGGCAGTTTAATTAGATATATACATTTCGTTTTAAAATACACACCTGTTGTCAGTTTCATTTCATGTAAAGTTCTTTTAACATATGTGCAATCAGGTAAAATTAAGCAGGCTTGTTCACCTGAAGAATTGCAGAGATGTCATTCTATATTTTAGTTAGACTGCACTGTAACCAATTACTAAATAAAAATAAATTAATTGGTTGATGTTCTTAATTTGAAATCAAAGTTCATATAAATATTTTAATCTACCTATTGATGCCTGACCTAAAAATTTCCATTTTTTTTTATGTTAATAAAAGCTTGCAATTGTTTCTGAAATATTTTTACGAACTTAACTTATTTACATTGGGCTAAGACTCATCAGTATTGTCACAAAATTTTTAGAAAATTGATCAACAACTATTTTTAAGTCTTCAGTATTTTGGAGGTAATAAAATAGCAAGTTTCTTATTAACTTTTTTTATTTTGTTTTACCATTAATCAACAAATAAAATGTTTTCAAACTTTAAATGTTTTTAAATAGCCTTTTTTATAATTTACTACTACTAGTCAAACACAAACTATATAATATAAACAAAGTATCTTAAAATGGGACAGGCTCAAGACTCGGGTTTCTCCCATTGCAACAGCTAATTAAGATTGCATACTAACTGAAAATAACACAATTAATATTTGCATCCATATTACAATGTAGCAAGCATAGAGCATCCTCTCTAATGGATGCTTGCCATTCTGTTACTTAGCTAATGTGGGCTGTAAACTTCTTGGAAATTAGTTCAGAATGGTTTCTAGAGCAGCTATGATAGTAGATTTAACAACTACCACATGCACTAAACGTTCTTGTTTTTATCACTTTTGAAGGCAAAATTTTGGATGAAAAGCTTATATACTACATTAGAAGCCATATTTATGGTTCAGAGTAAGTGATCAATCATCCATGATAAGAATCATTGCAAACGAAAGTAATGGATGTTATGGAAGGCAATAATAATTTATACCAATCACAAAACTGCAATACTTATGGAATGTTCTTAAGTTGCTAGCTTACTGAGGTTACTATCAGAATAGTTAGCTGTTGGCAATTGCTGCTGACACTATAAATACTGGTTATATTGGTTAGGTAGCATTTAGCAGCCTCCTTAAATATTACTACTTTATATACCTAACACTTGACATGAACACAACTACCTACATACCTTTATATGAATCAAACACCAATATTAACACTGCACTTGAGATCCAATAAAAGTAATTACACAAAAGAATATATTTATTTTACACATGATTAGAGAATTAAAATAAGAGAATATTAAAGAATAGAGTTATAATAAGAGAACTTATAATTAGGGAATATCATAATATAGACATCTTATTGAGGTATTATATCAAACCACTGGGGAAAATGACTTAGCAACATTAAGAAATCAGTCTCCGATTCTGATTTTAATGCATGCATATACTTAATAGTCTCCTGTGCATATTTATTTTGTATTGACATTGGTAAACTTTCTATATCAATATCTAAAAGAACAACAATATGACTCAGATGGATCGGATACAATACAGAAATAGTTAAATGAGTACAAATTTCTTTTACATGCTCAACAAATGTTTTTATAAAGGTTTGTATACGATTTGTGAAGTTTGTCATTACAAATAAATAGTTAAGTATACTGCTGGACAGCTGAAAACAGGTAGCGGAGACTGAACATTTTGTTACTATGTTCTTAAGTTCAGTATTAGTCACAAATAGTTCAGCTATATCATAGTCTGCATCATTCAGTAAATTATGGCATATGTCAAGAAAGATTTTTTCTATTTCAGATTTTAATTTAACAGATACATCATCAACCATATAGTTACCATTTAACCATAAGTCTTTTAGAATGTGCATATTTTTCTTATCCATGCTATCCCAATGAATGATATCTTTATACAGTGTATTTAGGTTCCCTCGGTTTCCGTTTAGGTTGATCAGAGCTTGCAAAACTTCGGGGGATATTGATGTGCTGTGGCTACTATTAATGTTCATATCCTTCATATTTCGCACCAAAAATTCATCAAGTATTTTACCTGTACCATCGTTGTCAGTACTTGAATCTTTCTGTTCGTAAGCTTCTACCAACATGGAGGTAACGTTTTCATCAATTTTCATGTGATTTTCTGGTTCGATCTGACACATCTTTCTTAATTTTTCTAGTATTGATAATCGTAAATTGTTTTTCACTTTCGAGTTCGGTTCTGTCGTATTGAGAATCTTGATAAAACTTTTTGAAAGAGCTTTTGCTACATTTTTGTCTAACAATGGATTCTCAAACGTAAATTCCGGGCATGGCTCATTATTGGACGTGATTATTTTTTCTATTAACTGATTATTCATCTTTCGATTTTCTTACAACCTGGCCAACTTGTTTCTATTAATATAAAAAGGTAAAAATAAGTGCAGAAAAGACACTTTGGCTTTCACAACTAAACAACAAGTTACAAATTTTATTATCAAACCATAGCTGAAATCAAATCTATGACAAAAATAATTGCCAAGATTAAAAATTTACTTTTCTTAATAAATTAACTAAAGTAAATAAACTAGGTAACCACGAAACTAATTATTTAAGCAAATTCAACATCATTCTAAATATAGAACAATTTTTCACATCGAAATATATTATGACTACAAATATATTTTTGTGACGAGAATAAAATAACGCAAGCGCCATCTGCTTTTATAACGAAGGAAACATTTATGGACAGTTGTGGTTTTACTACTTGATACTAGAGTGCGCTAGTAGAGATGTTTTAACTAACACTGTCATTTTGTTTTTGTTTGGAGATGTGACAACTATACTCGATGAACAACAAAACTTTGGTCACATTCATGCTCATAATGGTGTGAGCTACTAGTTATCGCCTGGCTCATCGCATTATTGGCAACTACCTGAAGCGGCTCGGCATATTTTAATTATAGTGGTTTTTAAACAAAGGTTTCTTTTCCAACTTGAAAGTACTGGTTATTTTAAATCGAAATTTTTAAGGGTTGATTCCGGTTAGTATCACTGTCTTTACCGTAGGGCCGAAAATATAGATTCTATGCTCCCCGGATAATACATCTTTTTCTTAGAGGAGTAAGATTTGTAGACCGTGTAAGGCCACCATATTAAGTAAGTGGTTATTATTCCTTAATTAAGTCGATAAATGAAAACACTATTTTATTATGTGACCTAAGTATCAAACATTTTTTTATTTCTAACTTAAAGAATATTTAGATTTTTTAACTCTTCCAAACGGCCTTGCAGTAAACAAGGCCTTACTATACAAGGCCAATTTTATAAATTAGTTCTTTACATGTGACAATCAAAATATCTGCACATCTTCCACATACATCGGAAAACATACGTTGATGTAATTTAACAAAGAAGCATGGAGTGACCTCTAATTCTGCATTGAGTAATAAAAGTTCGTGTATTATGTGTTGGAGGGACATTTGTTTTTATTCTGCTTTAAAAAGACAACTCCCGCACTAGGAATATTATATCCCGTAGCGAGGGACTGCACAAACATATACGAAACGGATGCAAAGAACACCCAGACGCAGAACTAGAATTTGAGGATCACACAAAGTGCTGTCCCATGTGGGGATCGAATCCACAACACTCAGCGCAGTAGGAAGCGGTGAGGCTACCGCTTAAACCACTACGCCATCCGTTTTATTTATTTTTTAGTTTTATTTCTTTATTTCCAAGTACTGTGGTTAATTTAATTTAAAACTTTATTCTGTGAGTCAACCGATAACCGAAGTCAACAATGCAAGGAACTGCACTGACAAGGATATATCTGTACCCTTAAGTTCGATGTGGGTAGAAAGAATTTTTTTTTATTCTCAGTGCATGGAAATTGTAAAAATAGTCCTTAAAAAGAGCATGGCTCTCCATGATTAGCCCACCGTTTCTTTTATCTGATATTTACGTATGTAACCAAATTTTGGAAACCAATTTTAATCTTTATGTAATGAATTGTCGCATCAAAATTAAATTAAAACTTACCTACCTTGACAATAATTTGGCATCATGAAGCTGATCTGATGATGGAGCCAGGAAGTGGATAGTGACACTCTTTAATGGCTAGTGAATACCTCCAGACGAATCCAATAGATTGGGGTCGTAATGAAGGTCTGATTATGAAAGAGGTGAATAGTAGGACTGCTTTTCGTTTTAATCCGCTTTTTTTATCACTGTCACGCTCTTAGGGGTGACAGTGTGATTGTACACATTTGTTTCCACTTTCTCAATGAATATTTTATCCAAAATTAAAAGGTTTTTTTTCGACAGGTATGTAGGTAGTGGTAGAAATTGGCGTGTTTAAAGAAACAATTTTTCAGATAGATAAGTTATCTTTTCCCGTTTAGTTAGTCGGATAAATGACGTACCATATAACGTAGAAGTAAAAACTAGAGCAAATAAACGTAGATTGTAGGTATTTCAGAGAATTATATACGGGGGTCACAGTAAAAGTTTATAGGAAATAAAGAACGGGATGTTATACTCGTAGAAGCCTGACAATATTTTATTGCTTTTCGAAGTAGTCTCCGTTCCTTTGGAAGTACCAATGCAATGCAACCATTGACTAAGCCCATTCTTCTTTAGATTTCTCTTTCACACCTTTTTTAAATGGCCATCTTTACTTTTGTCAGCAAAGCTTGGAATAGATATCCATTGCGTAGATTATCTTTTGGTTTCGGGTTCGTAGCAACAAATTCAACTTTCATCACCTGTGACGATGTCATATACAGCATTCGAGTCACTTCCGTCATACTTTTCAAACATTGAGCTTCACGCTTCGTTTTTGATCTTCCATCAAATTATTTTGGTATGAGTATCCATCTAGTAGGTAGATGCCAGGAAGCTCACTGGCATCTAAATATTCATGTAAGACTTTTATACTTGAAACATAATAATGCCTAATGCTGCCCGAATGTGCTGATAGGTCATCCTTCTATCAGCTTCTATCATTAGCAGCACAGTGCACACGTTATCTTCAGTAATCGGCGTAGAAGGACGTCGACGACGCGGCGTAGAAGGACGTCCTTCCCAAGATTCATCAGTGAGTTTAAACTAATTTAAACTAAAATAAAACCAATGACTTATTTAATCATTAAATAATAATATTTATTTTGGTATATTTTTAAGCCGAATACGAACGAAACTTTTGATACCGATGCCGAGAGAAATTGACAGGATACGTCATGTTCAGGCGAAAAAAGTTACCTTCTACTATTTTATATTAAGTACCTATAGGTAGTAGGTATATTGATTAACATGAAATAACTTTTATTTTTCTGTTGAATGCAGGCTTCAAAAAATGTTGTCTACCTAATTTCCAAATCAAGTTATAAGTACAAAAAGTGGACATCTCCTTTAAATAAATTTTTCATTGGCTGCTTGTTTTACTGGCCTATTCTGAAAACTTTCAGAGTGACCCACGTACACGTTTAAATTACTTATATGTTTACGGGATGTTACGTTTAACTACATACCTACATATTTATTATTATTATTTGTGGGTGTTGTAAGAGTCAACTAAGGGAAAAAACTACGCAGAACAACAACACTGCAGAGAGAAGGAAAACTTGACACAAACCCTATACAAACCCGTCTGGCCAGCGTGGTGTAGTAGGCCAAAACCTCCTTTCTAAGGAGAGGCTTATGTCCAGCAGTGGACTACTAAAGGTTGTTGTTGATGATTTATATAAGAGGGTGGTGACGGATTAAGAATACAGAATGTTACCACCCCTATTCATCCCGTGGGTGTCGTAAGAGCCGACTAAGGGACCAAACTACAAGACGGCACTGCAAAGAGAAGGAAAACTTGAAACCATCCATTCTAAGGAGAGGCCTATATCCACCAGTGGACTATTATAGGCTGTTGATGATGATGATGATGATGTAAGAGGGGCACACGATGTGGCATATAGCATATTTACTCGATTAAAAAGCATTATTACGGTGTGTAATAAGTAGGAGCTGCGTGTCCATATATAACTTTTCCATACAGCTTGTGACCAAGGTATATTTTTAATGTGAGTCGGGATATTATTCTGTTAGAGGTAGGTACCTATCTCTCATAATTACATCATCACATCAACAGCCTTTAATTGTCCACTGCTGGATGTAGACCTCTCCTTAGAAAGGAGCCTTACCATACCACACTGGCCAGTCGGGTTGGTATAGGGTTTGTGTTTGGTTCTCTTCGCACTGATGTTCCCTTGCGTAGTTTGCTCTTACCCCCATGAATATGAATGAATATGATATGATGAATAGAGGTGGTGACACTCCGTATTATTAATCAATCACCACAAGGAATATTGTTCTTAAATTGAACAAAAATAGGTATTCCTATCAACATTATTTTGAACTCTAAATATTTATTTATATTCATATCTACCTAATGTGTTACAATTTCCACCGTTCATAAACTGTTTTTAAATTCTCACTTATGACTTATTGTGGTGAATCATATAAATGTTTATTTCCGAACGTACCGTGAACTCTAAATCTTCTGCATGTGCACTTTGACACGCCTAACATCCATCAAACGCTTTCACACACAAATATTACTTCAAAACAGTATTAAAATATCACGAAAACGCAATAAAATTAGTAGCCGAAACAAACAAAACGCGCCATCATAACCTGCCGCAGTTAATAGGTGAAAGCTGAACTTTAAATTCGTGTGTAAACTAAAAAAAAATGAGATCACTCATCAACATGAATAATAGGAGATTCGAATATCTTAATTAGCACGAATTTACACCGTTATAAAGCGTGTAAGATGTAAAAAAGTTTAATGATAATTCATCTCGCCATTTCTCGAGTTTAATTCTGTGGGGCCCAGTTAATAAATTATGTTCGAGACCTCACATAGAGTCCCCTAACTACGTGGGCATACCATGCCAGGCTCCGCCCGAGACAGAGAGGGGAAATACCACCGTCGCACTCTTACGTAAGGCATGTTTGGCTCCAACAATGCTTATCTTACGCTGTTGTATAGAACTGGGAAGGTATGTTTACTTGCCGTTCGTATTTGGCGTAATTTAATTAAGTTTTCTAATTGGAAACGGCTCTGTTTGTAGTAAGGCACTTCTCTTGAGTTATATTGCGGGTTCTTAATTTGTGTTTAAATACCGGAACGTAACGTCGGTTTTTGTTAACGGGAAGTGTTTTAACTAGAATTCATGTTCATCAACACTACTTCATAAATTAAGTATAAGAAGTAAAGAAAGGCAGTAGCTTGAATAAGTATTATCTGTTTTAGGTTATTGGTTAAAGTTTAGGGTACCTATTAGGTAAGTGTGTTTAGGCCGTCTGAAATAATTTTACGTCAAAT